TTCATCAATCCCCTTTTTTTGAGGACGTGGCTCAGTTGACCCTTGCTCATTCAGCCGCTCCTGGCAGGAGTTCTGGCGGTCGTCTTGGCCGTTGCTCGGGGCCTCGCCGGCGTGCGGACCGGCTTTCTGCTGACTGGCGTGGCCGGCTTCCTGGCGGCAAAGGGCACCGGGCGGTTTCTGAGCCAAAGCGTCGGTGAAAATTGGGGAACCCATTTACCCTCCCACCAAATAACATGGAAGTGCAAAAAGGCCCTTTCCAAGAGGAAAGTATTCCTTCTACAGGGCTCCGAGCACTTCCATGTTAGCTGGTGGGAGGGTAACTGGGCGGCTTTTCCTACTGCTTCCAATTGAAACCCTAAACCAGCCCAAAAAGGGAAACTCAAAAACACGCGCGCACACACACACACACAGACGCACAATGAAAAAGGATCGCCATCCAACTGACCCTTTGGCCTATTGACCCTCCCTCCAACAATCATGAAAGCTGCCAGGAGGGTCTTTGAAGACGACCTTCCTTTCGGAGCCCGCAACACATGCAGTTCCATGTTGGCACCCGGTGACATACTATCATACCCACCCAGCCGTTTCTCCACGCCTCGCCGGAGTCTTCGTCGCCTTCCGTGCCGGTGTCTGCGCCTTCTTCGTCTGCTTGGCCATCGCTCGAACAAGTTGCTTGGGCGGCTGACCGTCCCAGATATTGTCTGCAACAGTGCAGCGTCTGATGCATGCTCCTTGAAAGAAGAAGTGGGTCCATCAACATTCGAGCTTAACTTCAAACACACGCATGCATGCCTTCCGAATCCTGCATGCCGGATATTGGTACATGTTCCATTTGTACCCCGCCCTGCTGAGTAAACAAGCCGGCAACAAAAAAACATTGGACTGCTTGGCGCTTCAGCAGAATCCTGTTTTCACATGTAGAGCTCCAATTCAGCAGATAAGTTCCAACCCAACCCAAGCATCCATGAAATCAATGGAACTTGTCATGAGCCTGGGGCTCCGTACACGTTCCTTGGAAGGATCAACCATTTGCATTTCAGCCAGTGGTTCTTACATTTCCGTTTGAACATGAGCCCCCCAGCTTTTGAAGGATGTGGGAAAATAATTTTGGCGGAAAGTTCATGTTTGAATGGCCACATTGCATCTTATAATGTTCATAGTTTTCCAAAAGCAAGGCGGCTCAAGCCGGAGAGCAAACCAGCTACGGGTGGGTTCAGGTCACAAAGCGGTCGCTCAAACAATGTCAACGCCTTGATAACACTTTGGTGTTCGGCCAAATTGGTATGCTGTTGGTAAGCCAGGCTACATTCATCAGTCCCCCGAGTGGAGTTAAGCCTGCTATGAGTGCTTCTCCTGACCCACGCGGCACACCACAAACACAAGCTCGGCCGAACATTCAAGCACTGGACTTAAACGCATTACACTGCCTCTCACTACATAACATGGCACCTGACAGGGTGTCCCTTCAAAATGAAATTGATCTTCCCAGTACCTCCCCATTGGTACCATGTTAGTGGGAGGAAGCGTTAAATGCTCTACGCGGATGGACCAATGGACAAATCTACTTGCCAGCTTGGCTTAGGGCTCTCTTCATGGCGGGACTGCGTCCATCCGAGCATCCACAGCGAGAGCGAATATCAGCGCATACTACGTGACAATGCGCCAGGGACCAGTACCTCTCCCCAGAGTGAACGCAAAGGTGCACAATTGTACATATCATTCTGTAATATATATATATACATATATGGATCGGTGAATATGCAGGATTCCTCATATGTCTTGTTTCAACATCACCGTACCAAATGGAAACTATGTTAGTCTTCCTGAGTAGATTGGCCAACGCAAGTCCGCACCTGTTTACCCCGGAAGTGGTCTTCCTCAAAGTCCGGGAACCCAGCAAGTGAGGGCAAGTCTGCGTCACGCAGCAACCACGTGATGGATTAAATAGTCTCCTGTGGTGGGTTAACGTAGAACCAAACACAAATGTTGTAGCGGAATCTCCTTTTACGGAACCCCATTTCCGGGTTCCATGTTGACACAAAGGCAATTGGTCCGGCAATCAACATCAGCCTGGAATCAGCCTGGTACAAATCTGGCCATCTCTTGCAAGTTCCAACAAAACTTTTCAGCACGCATGGATGTGCCAGACCGAATCTTACCTGCGCAACTTATAATTCACAAACTGGCAGAGAAGTCCGCAAAACTATTTTGGTGATTTGTGTTCACGGACCAAAGCATGGACCCCATCGGCACCGTCACTGAGTGAGGTCGCAAAGCGACTATGCCAAAAGCCATGGCTTTACAACACTACCCATGTTTCGAGCTCATGTTTCTTCCAAATGGACCACAGACTGCAGGACATTTTGAATGAAGCTCAACTATGTTCTTTCTTCTTCCACCAAGGCCAAGCACTGAGACAAATTCCAAGCCCAGCTATCTCACGCATGCGCAGCTATCTCTGGCACTCTGCTTTGATTGTTTGAGCAGTATGATCGGGCGGATATTTTAGGTTGTTCTGACCGCCATCTGACTTGCTAAGTCTAGTGGCCAGAGTGAAAGTCACCTGCTTGGCCATATATTTGAACAAAGAGAGACATCTGATTCTACTCAATTCCCCAAGTGGATTGGCCAATAAAGGCTGCAAACTAGTTGTTCATGAATACACATGGTCTTCCCAAAAAGTATAAAGTCCAGGAACTCAGGACGTGAGCACAAATTTGAGCTCGTTCAGAAAACAAGAGCAGCCCGCACAAAAACCGCGCTCTCGCGGCCTCGTGGAACTCAAGCGGAGGGTCGATGTGCTTGTTGGGAAAAAGCACCTGGGTCAACAATCATCATGGATCCCAAGGGGGCTATGGGGACGGGGGACAAACCCCTTTCCCTTTGTAACACCAAGAAAAGATACGCCCAAATCAACTAACATGGGAATTCGGCGAACCTCCATTTCCCCTCATCTGTGTACCAATGTTACCAACAGTATAGTCTATGGTCCATTTGGGTTTGCGACATGGGGAACACCGCTTTCAGAAAGTAATTTTGACGCTGATTCAGGGCCCAGTAGGCTTGGGGAATCGCCCCCCGAAACCGCCTGGGGGGGTCGGGGCAAAAACAAAAAGCCTGTACAGTCTGGAAGACTAGCTACCCTGCCAGCAATGCCAATTAACGCTAGAGGGTCCCTTTTAAAGAAAATTATCTTTCGGTATTTACCGATTAGTCTCCTCCTTTCGGTCAGACAAGATTGGAACTTCGGGAACTCGTTTATCCCGAGCGTTGACCATAACGCAGATGTACCTGGCATTCACTGAGATTCACTCTGAGGGGGTAATATTGGTACACAAACAGATGAGGGGAAATGGAGGTTCACCTAATTCCCATGTCAGTTGATTTTTTTTAAAAAAAAGTGTATTTGTTTGGTGTTAATCCTCGAGGGGGGGGGCAGGGACTCAAATCGGATCTGGGGCTCGAGCATTGGCATGTGCCGCCTGGCGGGCACTTCTGATCTTGGGTTTGGATGGAGGGATCCCCACACAATTTTGGATGTCCAAAGGGATATAGTAGACCCCTTAGACCCCGAATCAAAACATGGATAAACTATCACTGCACTCCTCTGCAACTTAACATGAAACACAAAAACAAAGTCTCACTTCCAGTGGATTGGATAGAAAAAGGGTCTTCCCCCCCCCAAAAAAAAGTCCAGGAACTCGGGAAGCAAGAAGGGTGGAAAAGGGATTTCGGGAAGAGATTCCAACAAAGAGGGCCTTTTGGGTTTGTGACTTTGCAGGGGAGCACCGACTATCTCAGGTGCCCAAATGACAGAGAAATCAAAGGTTAACCTTTGGGGCCATGACAAAAAATGAACCAAAAGGGGAAACCAAAAGGTCAAAGGGTCGGCTTCGGGCCAGTGAGCCACAATTCACCCACACGCTTCTTCACGGGGCCGTTCGCGCGTTTATGTGTTGTCCCCCGGTTTGGAAAGCTGCCATTGACCCGGCTCTCCAAGTTCAGGGCTTCCGAAAAAGTGACACTCCGCGCGACTCCAAACTTTGAACCGGACAATCCAGCTTGAGCAGCCATGAGGTCGGCGTCAAGCAAAAATTGAAGTCGCCCAACATGGCTCACAAGAGCTTTGAGGAGTGTCCTAGACTAGGTGCACCCTCTTTTGGATGCTGTTGAATGGGAACAAATCATTTACAGAGGTTCCCTACTTCGGGAAAACTTTGTCAAAGTGAAGTCTGAAGTCCCCTGTTTGGCATTCTTTGGGCTTGGTCTGTGGTTCATCCAAGCGGAAGTGGCTTTGCCCACCCCTCCAGTTAACACCCAACTGCAACCTACTATCGAGGCCAGTGGTGCAGAGCAAAACACAAGAGGCTCTGGAGCCATACTGCGGATGGACGAAATCCTGCACCACCTAAGAAACTATAAGAAACTATGGGAAACTATTGTTTGTTGGTATTTATAGGGAAATCATTATTCCCGGGTTTCTTAGGTGGTGCAGGATTTCGTCCATCCACAGTATGGCTCATGGTCCGTAACGTCCAGTGAAATTCATTAGGCTGCCAGTCAACTCCCTTTGCGAGGCTCTGAGTCAGCGTTGACCGCCCCACTTGTCAGAAGTAGTGTGGTCAGTAATGTGGGTATGTGTCGAAATTCTTGACTTCCAACATGGTTCTCCTGCTGGTTTCCCTCCAATTGGCAGTTTGGTTTGTCGGTTTGGTGGTTAAGGGTGGTTTCCCACCAAAGGTCCACATCCCCCAACCACCAAAGTTAGGGGATATCTGGGAAAGAGGGCACCCTGCAAAACCAAATCACCAAGATTAAGGTAGACCTGAAAGCAAACCCCCTCAAAAAAAAACGAAAACACAGACACAAACATGATCAGAGGGTCAAAATCCAGTACCCCAGTGCACATCCCAATGCCCAATATTATAGGTTCTAACACGGGTGCACCGAAAACCCCAAAATGGGATCGCTCCCCAAAACAGCTTTGAGGACCACAGTGATCAGGGCCCGCCCGCCTGGTTCATGAGCAGTGACTCGCACAAGGTGCCGGAGCCCTTCCGGAGCACATCATCCGGACCTCGGAAGCTTTGAGCCGCATGGATTTGGGTGGCTCCGATTTGGGTGGATCGGAGGTTTGGCGGCCGGCGTTTTTCCACTTGACCTAGGGTGCAAGCTGACTTCCATGGGGGGGGGAGGGGGATTACTTTGAAGCCGTAGCGTTAAAAAAAGACAAGTCATGAACACTGGGAGCAAACCTGCGGTCCAATTCCTGGTTGAAGTTTGACCCATACCCATAGACCCACGGCTTCAAATCCCCCTCCAAGAAAAGAAGAAGCCCTGATCGCCAGGTCCGAGGCTCAGAGCTGTCCAAGCCAAAACAAACCTGCGATTGTCTTGTTTTGTCTTGTTTCTTGTTGTTTGTTTGTATGTTTGCCGTGCTTTGTCTTGTGTCTTCTTTTCTTTTTGTATGTTTGTCTTGTTTGCTCATGTTTCTTGTTGGTTTTTTATGTGTGTCTTCTTTCTTGTTTGTTGTTTTGTATGTTTGCCTTGTGTTGTCTTTTTTGTTGTCTTGTTTGCTCATGTTTCTTGTTGGTTTTTGTATGTTTGTCTTATCGTGTCGTGTTTCTTGCTGTTTTTGTTTGTATGGTTGCCTTGCTTTGTCTTGATTCTTGTTGATTTTGGTATGTTTGTCTTGTTTTGTCTTGATTCTTGTTGTTTTTGTATGTTTGCCTTGTTTTGTCCTGTTTCTTGTTGTTTTTTTTGTATGTTTGGCCTTGTGTTGTCTAGTTTCTTGCTTTTTGTTTTTTTTTTTGTTTGGGTGGTGGGGGGGGGGTTCGCGCATTCTGGAAGGGATCTGTCTGAAATCAAAAAGCAAAGCGTGGGAATGGCAGAAGACAGCAATATGCTGGAAACGACTCTTGCACGAACAGGAAGGGCAACTCTGCCTCACAACCAGTCCAAATCAAACAGCACCTCGCTGCTGTCACCGCCGTAGTTAGGATCGCCCCAAGTGACCATGGAGCCGACCTCCACGATGGCAGCAAAAGCACGCTTAGTTGCTTGGATCAGCTGGACTCGCACCAGCTGCTCTTGCACTCGGCTGCTGTCACCGCCGTAGTTATGATCGCCCCAAGCAACTACCGAGCCGTCATCTAGAATGGCTGCAAAAGCACGTTGAGTCGCTTGCGTCTGCTGGACGCGATCCAACTGTTTTTGAAAATGGCCACTGTCGCCGCCGCAGTTTGGATCGCCCCAAGTCACTACAGAGCCGTCATCCAGGATGGCGGCAAAAGCAGAAAGAGTTGACTGGATCTGCCGAACCCGCACTCACTGCGCTTGCACCTGGCCGCTGTCACCGCCGCAGTCAGGATTGCCCCAAGTTGCCACATGATCCGTCAGCCAGGATGGCAGCAAAAGCATAGTTAGTTGCTTGGATCAACCGCACGCACACCAAACGCTCTTGCACCTGGCTGCTGTCGCCGCCTTGGGTAGCATTGCCCCAAGTTACCACAGAGCCGTCGTCCAGGATGGCCGCGAAAGCCATGCATGTTGCTTGAGTTTGTTCAACCCGCAGCAACTGCTCTCGTACCTGGCTGCTGTCGCCGCCTAAGTTACGATCGCCCCAAGTCACCACAGAGCCGTCGTCCAGGATGGCAGCAAAAGCATGGTCACCTGCTTGGATCTGCTGGACTCGCGCCAACTGCTCTCTCACCTTGCTGCTGTCACCGCTAAGTATAGGTGGGCCCCATGAAAGCACAGCACCTCCTACAACATGAAGCGCGCATGCTTGCTCTGTGGAAGCTAGCCGCACTCGTTGCACGATGGCATCGATGCAATCGCCATCTCAAAGACCCACCTCACTCAATGTAGACAATTGATCTAGCTGCTGCCCTCCAAAAGCAAGCCTTAGGAAGCGGCGCTTGAATTGCTGCTGCGCCTCATCCTTTAAATCCTGGACGCCCGACTCCGGCGATAGGGGCACAAAGCAGCTCTTCCCGCTCGGCAAGTACACATGCATTGGCATCGCGAAGTCCAACAGCTCACACCAGGTCGGCTGGAGGCAGGCCAAGTGCAGGCAGAAGTGCAATCAATCACAGCAAACGGCTTTGCGTGTGTGTGAAAAAACAACAACCGGAATTGGTGGAAGTAATGTCAACAAAATGGATTGGAAGCATTTTGTTTGTTGTTTTTGTTGTTCCCCCGCCGGCTGTGCAAGTGTTGATCAGCCAACCACTTTCCTTGAGCAGAAATCTGGTCTAAGTTCAAACTGGGTTGATCTAGAGCAAAAGTGTCGCTTTTTTTTTGCGGGTGTAATTCATTGAACAAGTTTTTTCCCCCACACAACTCAGTTGCCCAACGAAGCAACTGAAGTAAAAGGTTAACGTTTTGGAGCCATCACATGATTAGAGTTAGGCCCAGCTACAGAATGTATATTTTATTGTTTGCTTCACTTCGAGGCACTGGTAAAATGTAAAATGTATCCTAAGTCTACCCCAGATCACTGGGGTAGCAGCTAGCTACGGGTCCCTCCAAACAAACTCAGAGTTTGAGAAGCCCCTGTTGCAAATTCCGGCCTTATGCAGTTCTTGTTCAGAGTTACAGTCGCATAGTACCGCTTAGGGTTGCCTTCGTTTTATTCGTGGTCTAAAGGCTTTTGAGATGACTGTTGACCCTCCAGGTTCTCCGCATCTTAGAGCAGGATCCCCCTATCTGAGTGTGTCTCCTGTTTTTAAGGGAACCACCAAACTGGAAGATCTTCCCTTTGGTTCCCTACCAAAGCGCCAGCAAGTACCCTCAAAACAGTCCCAGTTCTGGTGGCACGTTCTGCTGTCCATTTGAGGCCCGTACCGTAGGGGATGATGGAGCACAGGGCGAAAATGAAGTCGTGGATGTACTCACGCACAAACGAGCCGGAAAAAAAGCTGGTCTGCCTTCTGGAGGGGATGCAATAGCTATGACTCACTGGTACCTTCCCATTCTTTCCAGAGATCCGGATCTTTCTAGAACACCTCCTTTGAAACCCAGGGAAAATGGCGATCGTTTTGTTTTCCTTAAACAACAATAAGAACGATGGTTGAACAGAATGGAAAAGGATCAACCCCTAGAGCTATAACTCAGTTCCTGAGTGGGTTGGCCAAAAGGCGGAACCAAACTTTTTGCTCACTACTGAAAATTGTCACGCCAAAAGGTGGCCAAAATCCAGGAACTCACAAAGTCAGACAAACCGCCAAGCGAACACTAGGAATCCCAAGGAAGAAACCTTCAGTCAGCTGCAGGTTCGCCAAAATTCGTGCTTGAAACAGAGAAACTTGGTCGAATATCAGCTTTCCAGAGTGGTTGATCAGTTTGGGAAGAGTTGGACCCCGCCAATAGGTTCCAAAGGCCAATGTCTAGTCAAGGACCAAGAAGGGTCTTCCGGTCGCTAACTTTGTTCAGCGGCCATAGAAACGCGAACAACTCCACTCCAAATACTACTGTATGCTCAAACGCAAGGATTCCATGGCAAGGGCCAGCGTTTTTAGTCAGAGGTGCACCTGACATGACCCTACAAACTCAAAACAATGAGTAGGGGGGCCCTGTTTTCATTGAGGTTCAGCGGAATTCAGACGCTTGATTATGTTAGCCTTTGAACCCCACAGACCTCAATGACTTCAGGTTTAGGTCATACCTCCGCTCGATCAGCACAGCTCAACCCAAAAAACATCGAGCTCCCTCCTTCCGAACACCTGAATTTGAACCTATGGCTGTGGGTCAAAAATGGGTACCCAGAATGGAACCCTGGTGAATGGAACCCAAGACTAAAACCAGGGGTCCAATTCTTGGTGGTTTAACTTTGACCCACACCCATATGGCAAGCACACGGGGTGAAGTTCTGCAATCTATGTCTGTACTGTAGGCCTCTGTCCCTGGAATGCATCCCGCCGCGCATCTTCCCCTTGCTATGCTGTACTGAAGCTGGGTCGAAGCCCTTCTCAAAAGAACAGGGGCCAGCGGGAATTCAAAATTACTCAGTTGCCTAAGGGTCCCAGATACAAAAGGTTAACCTTTGGGAACCTTGACTAAAGATGGACCAAACTGGGACAACCAAAAGAGTCAAAAGGTCGGCTTTGGACAACTGAGAATACTGTATCCAGTCAAATATACTTCATTGACTTGCCTCTATGTTACCCGCAAAGAAGCCCATGGAAAATAACCCTTTCTGCGATTCTAGGGCCATCGCTGGAGCTGGTCATTTTGTTCTGGAGATTTCCTTATCATAACAAGTGGAAAATCACTCACGTGAGCAAAACTTTAGTAACTCCCTTGTAGCCTCAGGGAAACACCATCACCATGTTTACGCGCACAATCCACCTTGTCTTGTGGAATTCAAGGGGTCGACCTACGAGATCTACCTCCACTTCAGACTGTACCCAAGAGGACCATATTTCACTTTATCAAGCATCCAGCTAAGATGAGGTCATTCCCCCGGAAAGAGGGAACCCTTGGTATAGTACTCCACATTCATTGTCATTTCGTCTCTGGAAATCAGCGGAATCCCCTGGTACTGGAGCCTTCAGGGTAAGCTTGTTTTGTCGCTCCACCGGCGCGGGAGCAATAATTCTAGCGCCCGGATGAATCCGAAGATGACATTGCCCGGACAATAGCCCACTTGTGTAAGTTTTCTGGCAAAGACAAACCAGAGTGATAGATTCCCTTCTTCCTAAACCAAATTCGTAACCAAATGGGAGTTGTGCCATTCTGATCCACTTTGGTGTAACTTCAAGACACGTTAACCCCCCCGCAAACAGGCGTTGTCCCTTGAAACCAGACTCCGAACCGGGGTATGCTCAAGACAACACATACCATCTGCAAATTCCCACAAAGGGCCAAGAGCTTTCCCCAACCAACTCTCATGGGCCTTCGCTGGCAGCCCTAGGAGATACTGTGGATGGACGAAATCCTGCACCATCTAAGAAACCCTGGAATGATGACTCTCCTGTTAATACCAACAAACGTTATGAATGGTTTCAACCATGGATTCAGAAAACAGCTGTTGCGCAGTTTGAGTAATTCATGATCAAGAACATACCATGCATTTGCTTGGACGCGTTTAGCTGATGGTTTTGAACGGAATTCAACACAACATATCGACCATGAAAAGGCTCGAAGGGATTTCGCAACCATCCACAGTATATACCGTTGCGGGATATCCACGCCCGGGGTGTCCTTCATGTAAAGGTAGTACGTTGCCACCGCATCGGACACCGAGTACCTGGTGCCGGCCACGTCCCAGGGTACACCCCCCAAACTTAGCTTGTATTTCCCAAATCTACAAGGGTACAAGTTTGAAACTGATCCATCTGCTAAGATCTTCTATGACATCCCATCAACTAATAGCGCTGATAGAACGGTTGTTGTGGACTGGGTGGGTGGGGGGCGGGCGGGCGGGCGGGCGGGCGGGCGGGTGGGTGGGTGGGTGGATGGGTGGGTGGGTGGGTGGATGGATGGATGGATGGGTGGGCGGCGGGTGGTACAAATATAGGCTTGGATTCTACGTGCATACGCGAAAGGCTTTGCGGACACGTGACCCCTTAGACCCCTTCAGGTGGTTGGCTTTCCAGGCCCTCCCAAAGGAGCACGCCCTATTGTGATGTAGTAATACCAACATGTCTTTATAGCCATGGTGAAAATTTATGGTCCCTCTAAAGCCAACATCAACACGTGCCATATTGGCCATTGGCCTAATATGTTGATAGCCCTAAAGGACATGTTGAAGCGCACGGGCAAGTGACTGAGTCTCCTGGTTTTCATGAGACATTTCGAGCTCGTCTTTCATGTCCCTCCCAAATGGACCATACACAAATCAGGAAGTTTCCCTAGGAGCGCACGCCCCATACAAGGGTGTAACGCCCAAAAGCCTTTGACCCCCCAAACAACGCGCAAATCGCTTCAGGTCGACGTCAAGACCAGCTGAGGTCTCGACGTAAAACGAACCCCAAAAAGAGCTTCGCCTGATCATTGGTGCCTAGGTTCAGTCTCGATCCCCAAAATAGAAGTCGCCGGATATCACCATTTGTGCGCTTGGACGATAACTTCAGGCGCCAAATTCCAGGGTCGCTGGTTCCAGATTCCCGGGTCTCTAGTACGAAGTCCTACTGTGGATGGCCGAAATCCACCAAAGAAACCCTAGTTTCTAATGATTCCCCTGCGAATACCAACTTTCCTATGGATTCAAAGTGGTGCGAAGGGATTTGGTCGCCCCTTTTCCGGGGCACGCTGCCAGCTCCTGCGGCCTTTCCTTGGCAAAGGGCGTCATGTCCTCGCGGGACATTGGCGCTATCATCTCCCAAAGGCTGAGACGTTTGAAAGCGCGGAGTGAAGCCTATGACGAAATCTGCCAAACAAACTTAATTACTACTGTAGTTGGGTGTGGCCATCTCTCTGCTTTTTGTTGTGTCTAGGCTGGAATTAGGATCCCAGCAAAAATTATCTGTTTACTGGAAAACAAAGGGGAGCCCAAAAAAGCAAAAAATCAAAAAAATGGGAGCGAATTCTGGGGAAGGTGTGAGGTCCCCCCTTTCTTGATTGGCTCTGAGGACCTCAAAGGAAGCTGTCCACAGCTCGTTTGAGCCCCTGATCGGTGAGCCTGCTGAGAGCACCAGCCAGAATCAAACCCTGATTCTATCGGAATCTCACTTGGGACACCATTTTCAGGCTTCAGTTGGGTGTGACGTTTAATTGGGAACCCTTTGGTGGACACCATTTATGTGAAAATTTATGTCCACCAACCAGTTGAAGGGGTTTTCTATTGGAGTTCATAGCTTTGTGTACTTATTTTGGTGATTGTTAGGCCTTATCAGGCAATCCAATGTTTATGATTGCCTTGGCGAACAATTGGTGATCCTCGGCCAAGTGAGAATGCGGCTAGCCACCACAACTCCGCTCGGGGGGACCAACAGTGGGTAATTGTAATAACATCTGGCTACTAAACAGATGTACTTGAAAAGGCAAATCAAGGGTCGAAGATGGTCGAAGTACACCTAAGGTGTTCGGACCCGTAGAGATGGCAGTGTCAGAACAAAACGCAAGTTGAAACCTTGTAGCTATCCAAACCCCAAAAACACATCCCTGCAACAGGGACATTCTCCCAACATGTGAGGGTGTCGATTAGGGGCCCCGCGCAAACGGTGGTTTCGCTTTGGCTTCCTTTTCAATTCACCCCAAATAATTTCAAAAAAGGGAACCCCCCAAAAAAAACAGGCCCATGTGGCTGTGGGTCAAAAGTAGGTACCCTAAATGGAGCCCTGGAAAATAGAACCAAGGACTAAAACCTGCGGTCCAATTCCTGGTGGTTTAATTTTGAACCGTACCCACGTGCAAACACAAAAAACCGCGAGAGCAATCCTTTGCTTGATCCCTTCCATACTGGCAAAAGAGCCAAAGCTCGCGCTGCTGGATCTTAAAACGAAACAACCTCTCCCACCAAAACGGTCCTTCAGATTTGAGAGGTTAGAATAAGGGTACCAACTTGTTTCTGTAATCTAGTTTAGTAGGGGAACCCTCCCCAAAAACTGGGTAAAAGGGCACCACTGGGGGACCTAGGCAGGAAGAGACGACAGCAAACACAGTCACACACACACAAAGAAAACACACTTCGTCCCCGGTAATCTGGCGTGGCGCCCATTAAGTTTATCTTTGAAGCTTAAGCATGATGGTTGAAGCAAGAAACAACAACACATAACACGCAAGACGAGCACAAGCAAGACACACCAACACCGGAACAGGCACAAACAAAAAGCGGCGGAACACCGCGCACCTTCCATTTGCTTCTTCGCCACGTGGAAAAAACAAACAAAACATATGTTTGCAGTTGCGAAAATCGATTCCCTTCATAACCAACAAGAGGAAACTACCAATAACATTATTTCAGGAAATGCACCAACAGAAAACACACACACAAAAAAAAGAAGAAGAAGAAGAAGAAGAAGAAGAAGAAGCAGACTTCAGGCAATGCACCGCAAGCAACACCTCAAAAACATATCCAACTTGCGGCCCATGAGAAGGCGCCGGGGAAAAAAAAAAGAAGAAAAAAAAGCGAAACTCGGACCAGACCACCGGAGCATCTCTCCTCCGGATCCAGTTCCACAGGGTCGTACTTCAGCTTGTAGCGCCTGGCGCGAGCGACTGAGCGACTCGAAGCGCTGGCGCGTCTGGCGCCGCCCGGCGAACAAAAAGCGTTCCGGGGCCTTGATTCACCCAAAGGGAGAGCGGAGCTGAGAAATTGTGGGGTTTGCGTTTGCGAAAATGTCTGGGGTCCATCCTCAGTGCTCCCAAGCTAAGGTGGTACCAAGATTGGAGCCCCAGTAAGCCGTGGGTTAGCCTCAGCCGGTCCTTGGGTCGTCTCACCCGAATCGAACTTCAAGATGGGAGCCCTTGGACACGGGAGTCATGTCCTTCCAACCCTTATGGAATGATTTGGAATACATTGTGTCTAACATTTAGTATAAGTTTAGTATAACTTAGTATCATGGAATGATTTCAACTGGTGGTTCCCTTTATTCGGAAATCTCTCAGTTCATTCACCCGCATTCCCTACCGATTTCGCAGCAGTCCGCGCTGCCGGAAGCTCCAGCGCCCAAAAGCGCGCCGGCCGGACGTCACGGCCTTCAAGCCTCGCGCCCCGCAGGGCAGGTACCTGGCAAACGTTTGGAGCTGATCCCAGTGGATCCCAGTGTTGTTTTGTTTATAGGTAGCCCGTCTTCTTCTTTTTTTTACTGGTGGCAGCTCTTGGTCACATAGGTAAATGGATCCACTGGGCATGCCTTGAATGGGTGCTCACAAGCTGGTCTGAAAAAAAGGAACACGTAAATTATAACTATCCCCTTGTGGTTTCCCTTGTGAGTCAAAAACAACAACAAGCTATTTCGCACCCATAAACTTCCAGTCGCGAAGCGAATCGACGGGGCACGAGTCACGCTGCACCCAGGCGAAGCAGTCCAAGTGGACCATCCACTTGCCAGCCTCTGGACCGAGCTGCATGTGGCAAGGGGGTCAGAGATTGCCTAGTGAGGCCTTCTACCTGTATTCTGGGGGTAGCTTCCCCATTCTTTCCAGGGACCCTTCTTTCCAGACAACCTCCGGAAACCCAGCAAAAACAGACGGATTTTGGAAAGAAGGATGGATGCTTGAAAAGAATGGGGAATCAAACCCTAGATGTATAGTAGCCATCATAGGTGTCCTTTTAGGGCAAACAAGTAGCCCTGTTAGAGTCAGGTAAACCAGGGCCATGTATTTTTCTATCAAAACAACCAAAAAGGACACCTATGGTAACCATGGGAAACCTTTCAACAGCCAACTCAAAATTAGGGACCGAGTCCTCCAGTTGCGTGGTTTCCCTTTGGTTTCCTCTTTATTACAAACCCAAAAACGGTCCACCATTTTGAGAAACCCCCCAGATATGGCCCATGACCCCTAGAAAAAGGGGTCATAACCCATTCATTTTGGGTAATGACCAACCATTTTTATTTCGGGTCAGAAGGAGACTCCAGGTCGTTTATTTCTTCGCTCCCAAAGAGCTTCAAGCATCCTGGCATCCTGGATTTCCCAGACCCGGGGACAAACGAATAGGACACCTCGCTTGTCGGCCGCTGATTTCGTTGGATCCATCAAAAGACACCGCTGGGCTTGGGTTCTGTCTCTCTGACAGGAATGGCCTTGGTCAAAAAGTCAGCGCCATGGTCAAAGATGTCCTCGAAATCTTGGGGTTTCTCTGAAAATAGGGGGCGCGCCACCATCCTCAAAAGAACACACACATTGATTGTCTAACGTCAAGGGTTCATGACCTAGGTCCTCCAGATTTGAGAGGCTAGAATAAGTTGGAACTCTTCTTTCGGAAGTCTATTCTAGAAGGAGAACCCTCCCACCAAAAAAGGGGAGAGAAAGCGCACCTAGCTGGGGGACCTAGTGACGTCCCAGTTGACCCCAAGTTACAGGCACTGGTGTTCTCACCATGGATTTGGGGCAAGCTGCGTAGTATTCCTCGTTGGCCACTTTCTGGATGCCTGCCTGCGCACGGAAAGAACAAGGCCGCCCTTGTGGACCCTTCCGTCCACCTGTCGCCAAAGCAAAAAAACATGCGCCAAGCGCAAAAGGCAAGCTTGGACAACAAACTTGCCAGGCTGCCAGGAACTAGAAGCAGGTGAACCTTTTGGCAGTTTGACCGCCAACCTCAAAACAAATGACACAAACCAAAACCCGACTGCTTAAACAAATAATATGCGTGTTTGAACACCTCCCCACCAGTGCCGCCCACTCATCAAACACATCACCTGCTCCTTGCTCCTTTTGGCAAGCAAGCGGATCAACATAAATTGCAACTGCATAGCTCCCTTCGATGCCATGCCCCCCGCCCAAAAACAAACAAACAAACAAACAAACAAACAAACAAACAAACTGAACAAACAAACTGAACAAACAAACTGAACAAACAAACAAACAAACAAACAAACAAACAAACAAACAAACAAACAAACAAACAAACAAACAAACAAACAAACAACAGCAACACACAACAACGGGTTGACTCCCGACTTCAAAGGCTAGGTTTCGCCTTTCCGTCTTCGATCTTGAGAAGGGAAAAGGAGCGGCATGCAAAGTCCCCACACCACCACCTGTTAGCCTCAGGGAAACCAGAAGATTGGACCTGAGACGCAGGGCTCGCCGGCTAGTTGCAGCAACTTAGACAAACTCACACGGCTGGTTGGCTGGTTGCTAGCATGCATCACCTCATGTTTTGTGCCATGGCAAACACCCTTGTTATGTTTGATTTGCGTTCGTATAGGCGTGCTCATCTGGAAAGAAAGGAACACCACGGTATTGAGCAGTGCTGCGTGTGAAAGGAGTTTGATAGACGACTGTTCACTTTGCCGTTTGGCAACTTAAGAAATTGACCCCGTTCCTCTTGTAATGTCACCTTCCAAACCGCCAACCCCCCCCCCCCCTTCCCCCGATTTGAGGTCGTATCCTCGTTTCCCGAGTTCGGGCGACAAAGTCAAGACGGTCTACCACTAAAATGATTCTAGAGCCACAAACGGTGATCCCTTCCAAACAGTAGTTGTCAACACCTTGAGCTCCACACAAACAAAAGACAAACAATAGCCAGCCATTTGCTTTTGCACCTGATGGAAAAGAAATATTTCCAGTAGTGATAGAGTCCCTTTGAAACCAACAGGGACCAAACAAATAAATATTCTTAAGCCAATGGAAGTAGCGCTTGGCAACCATCATCTTCCACCCAAAGTTTCTTCGGTCGAAGGCACCACCAAGCTGCGGACCTGTTTTGCGCTCGCGCGCGTAACTCTTGCCTCTGCCCGCGCCAGCAGCTCTGTGGCTCATCGTTTGGACATGTGTTCTCCTGGAAAACGCTCATATATCTGGGTGAATTATAATATATCACCAACCTGAAATAAGGTGGTTGGGGAGATCTTCCCCACATGAACAACCATTTGGGGTGAGGTCATGTGAGGTCGTTATAATTCACCCAGATATATGCTAACAAAACGGCGTCCTTTACAAGGATTCTCCTTTGAACTGAATTGTGGGTGATGTTCGGGTTTCCTTCTGCAAAGGGGTGTAGATTTGCAGCCTCTGGCAGATCTTCGGCTGTGTTGTGCCGCCGCCTGCGGCTGTTCTAAAGGTGCAGCCCCCCTTCTCTTCACCCGTCATCGTTTTTTTTTAGAAACAGCTTCCCTTTTGTTTGCTGCCACATTTCCGGAAAAGGGGATCCATCAAAAGGGGTGCAGCTAGAAAGGGTCGAACAAGGAGACCTTAGGTTTCCTTGAGCTGTCCGGTCTTGGTTGGTTTCCCTTGGTTCTCTTGGGATCGTCCTTGGCTTCCTCTTTGGTTCAGGCTGGCTTTGGGAAAGCACAGCGGCAAAATGAAAAAACTCGCAGGCACTGGCAAGGTACCAAGACGGGTCTGGTAAACCTGAATTGGTGGTTTGGATCGGTGGGAACCGGGGATGTGAACTTTTAGTTCTTGTACCCTTCACCAAACCAATCCAACCCGCCAATCAGGGGCAAGCTGAAAGATCAGGGCGCCGTACAAACAGTGATGTTCAATTTGGGTTCTCCCTGAAGCCAGGCGCTAAAAAGGGACGCACGACACACCCGTTTTGCGTTCTGCATTCTGCCTGTTACAAGCCTCTTTGCCTCCCCCAAAAAGATCTCAACAAATAAGGTTGCGGCCTTTAGGGCCTTTTGGGAGCCACCACAAAATAAACAGAACCAAGCAGTGTAGCAACAGTGACGTCATTGCTCTCCCTCCCCGCTTAGGGGTGTTTCGGCCCAACACTGGGGTACCGCAAACAGACTGTGAGTTGATTCTGCTTCATTATTAGTCACCCCAAGATATACAGAATGACTGTTGGAGACCCCTTTTTCCTCAGACCTCAATCTTTCATTGGGTTTGACCACAGGCAAGGGGCCCATCCCTTTTTGATAGTTGCACCCATTCCGAAAAATAGGGTAACATAGCCCTCCAAAGCTCACTTCCTGAGTGGATTGGCCAACCCAAGTCTGCGCTTCTCACTTGAAACTAAAATGGTCCTCCCAAAAAGTATGAAGTCCAGGAACGCAAGGCAAAACTACCTGAAGTCTCCATGACCCTTCAAAAATGGGGGTAAGGACCCCCATTTTTTTTGTGGGTAATGACCCCATTTGAGGGTCATGGAGACTCCGGGTACATCGGCTTCCCTCAGATCCAGTTCCAAGCCCCGACACTGGTCGCCACAAAGCCGCCGAGGAGTTCGCGCGCTCACTTGCCTGCGGTCGGTCGGGCAAGACTTTCCCAGTGAGCCCTTTAAGCCAGCGGTCCAAGAAAGACACCCACAAATGTTTAAGCAACTAGACCTGGGAAGAAGGGTGGCAAAACAATGGTGGGCTAAGCCCCATGCCTTTACACTTCGAAAGGGTGATCTCCAGAACACCGCACAGCCACATCTTGATTCCTGCACACATCAAAGTGTTGCCGAGTGGTGTTGGACGTTGGACTCGAGGTTGAGTCATCGATTGGAATGTCAGCTTCCCTTCAATTGGGTTTGGTGGTCAAGGCGGGTTTTCCAAGTTTCCCTCTACAAAAGCCGGGGTTCAAATCCCCAAATCCAAACCACCAACTCAGGGTTGTCTGAGAATCGGATAGTCAAAGTGGGAGACCGCACATCCCTGCGGTTCGCGTTGTTTACTCATGTTGACCCCATCTTAATCGTGCAGTTTATTGATAGGGGGTGTCCCCAAGAATCCTCCAAAGGACCGGCACCTCGCTGGCCAAGGTGGGGTAACTTGGCTATTTGGCAACCAAATGAAGACACAATGAGCCAGGCCTTCAATCCCCAGGACACGGGAAGAAAGCGCTTTGGCCCGCTGGTTCTTTGTCATGTCCCGTACACATGCTCGACCGAACCTCATATCACCTCAAGAAAACCGCATTTTTGGGGGTACACCCGTTTTGACGCACAAACATAGTGTATTCCAGGGGATATCCTTTCTGCAGGCGCAAGCAAACTAACGCTCCCCTCGACCACACCCCTGAGCGCCAACATGGGCACTAGTTGGCCCTATTTAAGGGTTTGATGTCTGGAGGGTTCGAACCCACAGCTTTGCAGGGGCAACTTCCTGAGTGGATTGGCCAGCAGAAGCGAAAAAACCTTTTCCATAAGAGCTCCTCCTCCTCCTCCTCCTCCTCCTCCTCCGTCCTCATCATCGTCATCATCATCATCGAATCATCATCGAATCATCATCGTCATCGTCATCGTCATCGTCATCGTCATCGTCATCGTCATCGTCATCGTCATCGTCATCGTCATCGTCATCATCATCATCATCATCATCGTGTTTGGTCGCCGGTGGCAGTATCCGTGCTCCGGGGTTGCTGCCGTGGCCGCTGGTTCAACTGTACCGCTGTTGCAGCACCGTCGCTCTGGTGTCTGCAAACCTTTTCCATAACAGTTTTAACATCGAGGAGTAAGGGAAATATAGGGGACCCGGACCAGTGTGTGTAGGGTGCAAGTACGACTGAGTCCTTGGCTTTATCCAAACCCCCTTTTGTTCGGATCTCGCCTCTGGCGCGCTTCTGCGGCGGCTCCTCCCACCACCCACTCTTGCTGCCGGCCTCAAAGAGAATGGGGTCTTGGGGTCCCCATGTGGTCTACCTGGAATCTCCATGACCCTTAAAAAATGGGGCCGTTACCCAAAATTCATGGGTTCTGACCCCTTTTTCTAGGGTCACGGAGACAGGTACTCGCGCTGGATGGCCACAAGATCCACGCCGATGGGCACCAATTGGGACATGAAACGCTTTGAACACCCTTGGTTTACAACCAAATGCCAGGTGCCGCGCGCGGATTTTGTCCATTGGGCTCCTTGAGGGCTTGTCAATTTCCCCTATCAAACCACGACCACTGCGAGCGGGTGAATCGCTTCCACAAAATTGAAATACAGCCACTTTGATCACTTTGTGAAGGAAAGAGAAACACCCCACCCAAGCTCTTTAAGTATGGAAGCGGGATCTCGTATCCTGTGAACACACGTTCTTTTTCTGGGTACTCGCTTCGGCGAAGTGGAAACCGCCTCTTGAACGAGAAAAACAACTAGCAGGGTCAACTGCACTTAACCGGGGGGAGGCATAAGTGGGATATAACAGAGGTCCCCCACAACACCCAAGAATGACCCCGAAAATGGACGTCCACACACCGTTGTGCACGACAAAGCTTTCCCTGTTCCCAAGTTTGCAAGATTCATGAAATTGACTCTACCTCAGCTTTTGCCCGACAAAAGCACACGTAATCATGCCGCAATCAGGATTCAACAAACACAAATGCCTGGCTAGACTGCAAAATCATCAAGCCCTGAATTGTCGACAAAAAAAGTAGAAACAAAAACATGATCGAAAACAAACAAACAAAAAACAAGAAAACAAGTACAATCAACAACAAACTCGTAGGGCGAACATGGCACTGCTCATGGTCCTTTTAAATTGGAGAAACTTGCGGGCCCTAAATCCCTGAGTACTAGGGGTTCCGATGGATATTGGGCCATCTTGGGAGTGTCTCCTAGGGGATCCCTTGGTGTCTTTTCAACTCACTTCCTGAGTTGATGAGCAAGCAAGGTCCAAACTGTTTGTTTGCGCTAGAACGGTCTTGTCAAAAAGAAATGGTCTTGTCAATCGAGCATTCTCTTTTGTGGGTTAAGCCTTTGGACTGGACTCAAAATGTCACACGAATTCCCGCATGGGCGTTAAGTTCCCACCCCACTTCTCCTCACTTCCGTTGACAAGCCGACAGAATCTTAAACTGTTTGTTTGGCTATATTTGAACAAAGAGAGACATCTGATTCTACTCAATTCCCATGTGGATTGGCCAATAAAAGTTGCAAACTAGTTGTTCATGAATAGAAATGGTCTTCCCAAAGAGTCTAAAGTTCTGGAACTCAGGGAGTATAACTCCGTTGCCCGCCCCATACTTGGCGTTCACCATGCACCCTGGGGCCTTTCTGGGGTGAGGCCCGCCCCATACTTGGCGTTCACCATGCACCCTGGGGCCTTTCTGGGGTGAGGCCCGGGTTTCTAACCATCATTGGGTGTCCATGGTAACTTGCCCTCATTTCGGTCGGTGAATTTGAAGGGTCTTCCCCCTGAAAGGAGTTGGAAAAAAGAGAAGAAACCGACTAAGTGTTGGGGCTGCAAAAGGTCCATACGCAATATATGGGTGTGTCCTTGTGTTGAGGGTATCCCCTTTTGGACTATTTTCAAGCGACCCACCCGTAGAAAGGAAACCTGGATCTGAGTTGAACTCCTGGTGGTTTTGACTGGAGGAAGGCTCTCGTAGCATTTCCATTAGCATTTGCAGGGGCCTTCTGCGATTCATCACAGGTGAACACCGCCCTGGTGAAAAGGCAGGGGCGCAAAGGGACTGCCCCTTTTCCTGAATAGAGAAAGCTGCATGCGTCATGGGTGCATGCATACACGCAAAATAATGGGAAAGGTAAAGGTCATATGTAACAGCTAACTTCGGGCCCCATGCCGATGTTTGTCCGTGTAATTTTCTCTAGCGCCCTGTTGCATGACACGGACATCAGGAATAAGAAAGCAGCGTGGCCCAAAATAGCATCAGCTTTGGCAAAATCGCCGCACTGACCTGAGCTCACTGACCAAAAAACAAAAAAAAACATGTTCTAGGTCCTCCAGTAGAGAGATTAGAATAAGGGGACCAACTTTTTTCTGTAGTCTACTTTAATAGGGGAACCCTCTTCCCAAAAAAGGTAAAAGGGCACTACTGGGGGACCTAGTGTTGATTTGAGGCCTTTCGGAGTGAAAAGGTCTCATATATTTAGGGTCCCTACAGGGCCCCGGCTTGACACCAGACCTTCACCGCCCGCTCGTGACCCCCCCGCGTACCGCACGCCGCGCGCACGAGCCACACGCCTCGTGCCACTCGTGTTGCCGGCCGCGGCAGCCGATGGAGCTCTCGGCCATCTGGCCTCGGGTGTTGAATGATCACCTCAAAACCTGGGACAAAACTGGTACAAAAATGGTACAAACACCTGGTAAGTCATTTTCAACACCTGGTACAAAAATGGTCGACCCAGAACCATGCTTCAAGAATTCAGAAGGCGGCCGCAGCTATTTATGGCTGGGATTGTCCCTTACCCTCCAATTCCCCGGGTTTTGATTGTGGCTCAGCTGGACCCGCGAAGCCTTAAACTTGCTGGTGCGATAGGCAGACAATGAGAATTGAAAGCACCCCTATAAACCATCCAACTGGTGGTTTCCTGTAAGGCGAACCCTTCATGTTGACCCCATAACAACAACTCCGCAACCTTGACCCACCATCCCACCATCCAACAACGACTCAGCCTTGGCCTCGTTGCGGAAAGGCAACAGTACAGTTGACCCCTTTTTCATCAACCAACCTGCTTATTTTCATGGGGGGGTGGTTTTCGGCCCCTCCAACCACTAAGGGAGAAGTACCCCTCCCTATAAATAAACTTGAATTTGATTAATAGGGGGTCAACATTAAAGGAACATCACCCTAGACTTCCGAGGCGAGATCCCATTTAGTTCGAGGCTCCAAGCCTCCAGGAAACGAGAACGAAACGAGAATGCCTACGAGCGAGCAAACCAGTCGTACCACCTGAGGTCCATTTGTCCATGCTACATGGACGAATTATTGCACCGCGTAGTACAAGTGGTGTGCCTGTTGACCCCCTAATATTTATACGGTGTCCATCCCAACTAATGCGAAGCGGATTTGGTCCTTCCAGCCCCCTCCGCATTTTATGTCCCTCTCAGACCAGATGGGACCCTTCCGCCCACTTAAGGGACTGTAGGACATGGGCGAAACTCGCTCCCTGTCCGTGAACGATTTCTTTCCTCCCCAAAGTATGGCCTTCCCCAAGACGACTTTCTCACTTCAAAAGGGGGGTTCCTTATGATCAGAAGAACTTGTCCCTAAAAATCAGTTTCCCCAACCGAGCATTCAAAAGCCAGGAGAGTTATGATGGATGGTCTCAACCTCCTCGTCATTTGGCCAGCCCGCAAAAACTGTCCGTTGTGTTGTCCAAGTATCTTATCTTTCTTAGGGGGTGCTGACTGAATCTCAGCAGTCAACTTAAACTGCGGAAAGTCACATCTTCTTCTGGTTGGATCTGTCCCCCTGACCTTCACCCAGTAAGGTCTTGATGGTTGCTCAAGTAATGCCAGTATCTAAAAGGGGGTTCCAACAACAGGGCGCTCTATATTTCCCCTTCAAAAATCCCTCCCCCCACCAAGGGATACTCACCTGTCATGGGCCAAACAGGTTGAGGTTTCACCCAAAAAGGTCCTTTAGGACAAATCCTGACCTAGTAAAAATCGGGACCCCTGCACAAGGCTTCGGGTCACGCCCTCTTTCCAGCGGCCCCCGGCAGCAAGACCATCGCAGAGCGCTGCACCGGCGGCAGGTGGGACCTCCGGTCATGGCCCACTTCCCGACGCGGAGAGCTGTACACGGCCACCCGCTTTTGGGGGTGTCTCTGGTTGTTTTGGGGGAACCCCTATTTTGGTTGGGAAACAACCACTTTTTTTTAGGGGTACCCTAAAATTCTTCACTTGGAGGGCTACACCAAAGTGGCAGTAGTGAACACAACTCCCCTATTGCGTGACGTCTTTCGGTTCTTCAACGCCGCAAGCTTGCTTGGGCTCGTTTTCTGGTGGTTTCTGTCAGGTTTGTCTAGCCCAGGTTTAATCTCGCATCTGTGTTCGTATGATAATGTGTTTTGTCATAGCGTCCATCCCAACTGGTGCAGAAGCTTGTCCATCCACGATGCGGCAGCCCAAACTTCAGTATTCTTGGTTTGTACAGGGTGCCGGACTTTCCCTTTTTGACTCTTTCACACCTCACCTTTTGGGTCCTTGTAAGTTGTTGTTGTAAAAAGAACTATGGGGAGCACTGTTGAATTCCCAGATTGGGAGGCGTGATGCTGCGATGCTGGAACCTCATTCTGCCACACAAGGCACCTCGAAAGAGTCGCGGCACCAACTGATTTAGACTGAATGAGTCTTGAGCCCCCAAAGTCCTTTGCCCCTAGAAAATGGAAGGCCACTAGAAACCGGTCAATCCCGGCGTTAAATCTGTTCTACAATCCTGACCTCGCTGTGGGAATTTAATAGGGGGCCCGTTGGTGCACATCATTCATGTCCACCAACCTCTCTTGAGGGGGTTAGTCAGGGGAGATGTCACCTTGCCGGATCCGAGATATGCTTGCAAGTCCAGACGGTTGGCCACTACAATGCTTCCCAAACAGTTTGAGTGAACCCCCAGTGCGACGCCAGAAAAAGGGAATCCTGTTTGGGGATTGATACCTGCGGAGAACTCACCAAGCAAAAAGTCGGCAAAAAAGGTGCCACTAAACAGCTGGGCGAAAGTGCTTGATGTCCGCTCTAGACTTGTTTGCTTTGATGCGGATGTTGGGAACGCTGACCAATCAGAACTGTCGTGTTCCAGACACTCTGTGAATAAAGTAACAATCACGCCTCCCAATATCAAAACGGTGAGTTGATGTGAGTAAAACCTAACCCAGGAAATCCACGACTGTTTTTTAAACGTCCTTTGCACCTCGCCTGTTTTTTGCAGCTAAAGCCTGTTTTTTGCGCCTGCAGTGAGCCATGGCGTGGTATTTGATGGATTATTCATGCTGTTGCCACGTTTAGATTGTACAAAGCCAGTTCCACCCCAACATGTCTTGACACAACAATTTTGGTGTGAACATAGCGGTCCGTCATGTACGCAAAAGTAGCGTGAAATCACCGTGAAATCACCGTGAAATTGGCGTGAAAGCCTGTTTTCCAGCGTGAAAGCACGTTTTCTGCCGTGATTTTTTACACCAGTGAATCTATGTGTTTCAGCCTGTCCTTTGATAATCCCTCCGCTTGTTTTGTGGGAACGGAGGTCAAGTCTTTGCACACTTTGGTCCTGAGCACGTGCGGCGCCCGAATTGTTGAATGATATCGGCTGAGCTTGGACAAAACTACTCCTGGCAAAAAACCGCCTTTCACGGAAAACATGCAAAATAAACCGCCTTTCGAACCCCAGGGACAAATCTACCCCATGGGTCAAGAAAAGCATCATGTTGACCCCAGATTAATGAACCCCACTTTATTCATATGGGGGGTGTTCCCCTGCGAAAGTGACGAAATCAAGCCCAGAGACCAGAGACACTTCCTTGTTCATAAGCGGGGGGTTTATTCATCTGGGTTCAACATTACACACCTCCAATATAGAACCCAATGGACAGGCCTCATTATTCTACCATGATCAAAGTCACCCCCTCAGTGGTGGGTCAGGGGTCATTATTTTGACGGTTTCTGGGGGTTCTCAAAGTCAGAAATGGGGTTCGTTTCCCTTTAACCCACCACTTAGGGGATGACTTTGACCATGGTGAAATCATGAGGCCAGTGGGTTAAAGGGAAACGACCTAATTTTCTGACTTTGAGAACCCCCAGAAACCGTCAAACTAATGACCCCAAATGGATGGGACCCATGGGACCGGCCCTCTGTCGGCCGTCGGTTCGGCGGCTTGGTGCCCGGGCACTTCCCATTGTGGTCCGGGCCTTCGATCGATACGACACCCTAGGGTCCCAAAAGCGGCGTGAATAAGGGGACCCACAAAAAGCAGTGCTTTTCCTTTGGTTTCCATTTAAAACCATACAATATTTAGACCGCAACAAGGGAGGGTGCCTTGACTTGAATAGGGAATCCCCTCAAAAGTGGGAGGGAGGCATCAATCCCCACTTAAATGCTGTCCAAGGGATCCCTGAATAAAGTTCATACCCCAATGGGATCAATACTCCCCTATTGAGCAGAGCTAGTTGCTCACCCGGGCCGTGCAACGGGGTGCCGGGCCACACCCTCAAAACAGAACTCCGATACGTAGCTCCCGTCCAAGAGAAAGGCGATCGCAGGGAACAACAACCAGACTCGAAGGAAGTTCCACTTGGGCGTTGCATTCAGAAATTTGTCGACACCTCCAAATCGAGGGGCGTGGCCGCTAGCCAGGTGGAAAAACACACATGCGACCAATCCCCAGCTTTGCCATGGCCATAGACGAGAACGTGCTTCAGGTCAAGGCCTGGCTGATATACCGGTCCCACATGGATGACCGCAGCCCAATAAATTTGGGGGGGGGGGCCTCTAAACCCTGGGGTTACCTCTAAGACTTCCAGCAACTGGCCCACGGTTGTGGAAAAAAACTCTTCAGTGATGCTCACCTGGGATTCCCGCTCCCCGCGAATTATCACCAAGGATATTCCCTTGGTCTCACAGCAAGTGGGCCCAAGGCAACATGTTCAACATGAACTAGTCGTGAATTGGTGCGCGCTGCGCGTGCGAATTCATCTCGAGCGCCGAGCATGTCAAGACGTTCCACTTGAAGCCCGGGTGATAGCGACGACACCTGAGTCAGTGATAGCAACAACACCAGCCGTTGTTCGAGGGAATGTCCTATTTGGGGACAATAACATATCTTAGTGGTTTGCTTATGGCTTGCTAGTCGAACTTTGAGTGGGATATGCTGCGATAAATCCCCCGTAAAAGTCCAAGAAACCGTATGGCTGTGAACCGCCAGACATCAATTGCATACCCCTGACTCCCCAAACACATCATTGAATAATCCGCCTCTCAAAACAAAAACGCCCTTGGCAAATGGAGCACAACTAGAGATGCTTTGGGCCGATTGTGTTTTTTTGGGGGGTATAGTAGGAGCGGTCTCTGGTAACATGTCCTATCCTCAGCGAAAACGTCTGGCATTAGTTTGCATGAACTCGCAACAAAAGGACTTGTGGCCTGCTGATTGAGGATGGAACTGGCAGCTCAAGCAGCTGAGAACACCCAAAGGAAGACTCAAGGGATCCGTCAACAGCCAACCAGTCACATACAAATGGTTTGGGTGAGTAGCACCCACAAGTTGTTGCTTGGCGAGTGTACCCCACGCTTATTCTTGTCCAGGTCCAACTCAAGGGTACACCAAACAAACTATGTTCAAATCCTGCTTCATAAAGTCGACTTAACATACAACATCGCTTCTGAGAAGACTCCAGACTTGCCCATGTAGGGGGGTGGGGTGTTGGGTGTTGGGGTGTTGTTGGGGTGTGCGGGTGGTTGGTGGGGTGTTGGGGTCTTGGGGGGGGCAATTCAGACGGTGCAGCATACTGGGGTGTGCTACATGGGTGCTTGACCAACTTTGTAACTTGTCGGTTGCCCTCACAACCCACTCGTCTCGTACGTCCCCCGTTCGGTGGAGTTGAGCCCTGTGTTGAGGGTTGCTTAAGACGCACGACCGGTTGGGCAAACATGGCTGAACGACATGGGAAGCCAAGCCCATATATATCCCCCCCAAGTGCCAAGTGGCCATGGGCAAAAAGGGCTTTCAAGCCCCTGCTTTTGGTAGTCGATTGTTTAAAGGGGCCCACCTCCCAAAGAAAACAAGACAATGGTTGGCGCAGCACTTCTGATGGTGCAGGGCCCCCATTCGGGGCGAATAGCCCCGAAACAAGCCCACATGAGGGGCATAGGTGCCTTCCTTGCGGGGGTTCAATTGAGTCATAATCAAAGTTTGGTACTAAAAGTCGCTACCCAGAACATGTAAAGAACAACCAAGGCGGATGCCATGGATGGGGGGGTTATCCCTCAGATGCCCAGTGGCCATGGGGAAAAAAGGATCGGCATCCTTTGTTGGTTGGTTGACTTTAATTAAAGGGGAACCCTTCCCGAATAAGTTGGAAAAAAGGAAGCAACCCACTGAGAAACTGGGATCCCTTAACCTTCGTCCCCCCAATGAACATCCCAATCCCCACTAAAATAGGTTCTAAAATGGGTGATGCACGAAAACCCCAAAATGGGATCCCAAAACGGTCTTGACAACCACAGCCTCATCTCCCCCCAATCGGTTTTGAGGACGTGGTCTCATTCCCCGGCGCTGACCCTGGTACGTGGTGCAAGGCAAACTCTCCGAGGCCGTCGCTCGGGCACGGCGCCCCCATCTGCCGTGACCACTCCTTTGCCGTCGCCTGCGGTTTCGGGTCGACCGGCTCCCTTTTGAAGCTGAACGGTTCCAAGTACGAATTCGCCTCAAGTGCCCAGGAAAAAAAGGAAAACAAACACATTGCCCAGAAAAACATAGCTGATCATGTGGATTGGTTCTTCTGAAAAAAGGCCACGTGAATAGGGCGGGGTTCCCTTTCATTCCCCTCTAAACCAATCGAAACGAGGCTTTAACGAAAAGACACCCTCCGGTCAAGCCCTTGGGGCTGACAACAGGGTTGGACCAACCTCCGGTGTTACCCATTGTGTAGCGTGAAAACATGTCTAGACTCCAGTTGTCGTTTCTTGCTTGTCTTTTCTTTTTTAACATCCTCCGCTTTGGTTCCTCTTTAAAAGGGGGGCCTAGTGTCTCCCGGCATTCTCAAACTACCCTGACAAAAAGGACATCACCCTACAATCTTTGGCGATGTCTAATGTTTAACGGCTTGAGGGTCCAGGAAGAGGTTAAAGCAGATTCTTGCGCAGCGCTTGACATGAGTCGACTCGAGCACCAAGCCTGGCAAGCCTGACTCGGCCAGCACGAAGACGTCGAGGCCTGGAGGTTTAAAGACACATATTTTCTTTTTAAAGGAAAGGGGTCGGCTCAGCCCTAGGCACCAAACACAATATTTGAGGTCTTTGTCAAAAGCCCTTCTACATTGGGCGTCGACTCACGCTTGGGTGCCAGGGGTCTGTTCTTCTTGCTGGTGCGATAGCTAGGGAATGACCGAGACCGGATTTTGGGAATGAACCGAATTCCCTGAAAGGAAACCAAGTTTATCCGCAGCAATGGGGCTAATGGCCCTTTGCACAGCTTCCTGGAACATTCCGGAGAGTTTTTCGCGACATTCCGGATCGGCTAATGCTGGGATATTTCTTGCTAGTCTGACTTGGCACGACCAGGAACTTGACCGCGTCCCCTAGCCCCTTCAAAGGGCTTCCTACGGGGACCGACAAGGTAAATATATAGGTAAACTGTTCATTGTGTCCTCCGCAAAATCTCAAAGACTACCAGGAATCCTGCCGCAAATTAAGATGGAACCATCATTCTGTGGGGAATCGGTTGCTGGGGATGCATGCAGACGTCGGCACCCCAACAGTCTGCATATTTGGGGTCTTGCTCCCTAGGCTCGAATAAGGACTTTCTGCGTGGATTGGTAAGAACGAGTCCACGCTGTTTGGCCATGGCCTTCCCGACAAACCGGCTAGGAACCCAACACAAACAATTTTGAGGACCTTCGAACTTCGAACCCTTCAAGACTTCAAATAAGCATCTCAGGCCCAACTCCACACGACTCCAAGTCCCCAGCCGCAACAGCTGCAGCGGAAGGGCCGCCAGGGCCGGTCCTTTGAGCCGAATTGCTCGGGATGTGCTCGTGAGCACAGGTTCCATAGGGGGTTGCTCGCTGGGCCCTTTGGGGAAAATGATGTACCTGCTGAAAGTGAAGAAATCCATTTCAAGGGTTCCCATGTTGTTCTCCTCGGAACATTAACCCCTAAAAAGCACACACCTCAAACGAGTCGAAAAAGGTAATGCTTAAAAGGGAAATAAGACTTAAATACCTGCCTACCTACCTACCTACCTACCCAGCCACCCACCCACCGACCTACCTCACTCCCTCCCTACCCACAGCCGCAAACGCCCACCGCCCGCATCTTCCGCGCACTCGCGCACGGCACCTCTGACCGTCCCAGGGACCGTTGCTGGGCCCTCCGGCGCGCACGGCCCGGCGCTTCTCGCGGCGCTCGGTGGCGCCGCTGACCTGCGGCCAACGAGGCGTCAAAACGAACAACCCCTCCCCCCCCAAAAAAAGAGGCTCCAACAGCGCGAACAGCAGCACAAACCAACACAAGAAGCAACCATCAACTTTTAACCCCCTGGAGACTCACAGCAAACAACACCAACCGCACAGAAGCAACAGGCTTCCTCTTTACCCTGGTGGAACAAATACGTGTTTGTTTCCAACCGGGGTACCCCAACAAAATGACATTTGTCTCTTTGTTTCTCGACAACCCTACATAAGGGTTATGCCCCCTCCAATGCAGACCCCCGCACCCTCCAATAGAGAACCGCAACCCCTCAAGGGCCGTCAACAACAACCCATTTGGGGGGCCCAAAAACAGTCGGGACCCTTAGGGAATCACAAAAAAGCAAAATAAAGGTAGTTAGTACCAACACCGTTAAGAAATAGGTCCAGCACCCCCCAACTTCTGCTGTTTGGACAATACTTGGGACTTGGGACATGGGAACAAGCAGTTGTTTGGGACGTGCGGTCACAAAGCGAAGAACCCGTTTCAAAGCGGGTATGGGTCAAAAATACACCACCAGGGAATAGTCAGGATTTTTTGTCTTTGTCTCTTTTTTTTTAAATATCAGTCTTCCGTTTTGGGCTATGTTCGACCCAAGTGTCAAGTGGCAAGGTTCGCCTTGTCGTTCATTCAATTGATGCTCAGAACAGAACCAAAGCAGTGAAACCAAACCACACAAAAAACACCGTGCCGTTGTGTCTGCGGTGTGCTCTTGGCCATATCTCAGAGCGCCGGACAGGGCATCGAAGCGACGAACACCAAAGGGCAGCACAATCCCTTGCCACTCCCTTTATGTCCTACGAGAAAGCATGGCGCATTCCTGAAACTCAATCATGTGCTAACTGTCCCCATTCCAAAATGCAGTAGTGGGCAGTGAAGGCTGGGTCAAGCCTTTCTCATCCGCCGCGCTATGTGCTAGCAGTGCTCTACTTGATGGTTACTACCCCACCCCCCGCCCGAAAGATCTAACCTGTTGACGGTTACAGTAGTGGGAAAGTCATCGTGATCCCAAAACGTGCAAGGTAAAACAAACCACCAAATAGCATGCAAGCTGTTCATCCGAAGGGTCAAGGGCCGCATTTACACATCTCCGATAATTATCCCGCTTAGGCTCATTTGAAGGTGTGCAAGTAATCAGCCAGGAAATCTCCAGACTGCCCCGCTGGGGCAAACCCACATTTACCAGCGTGTCTGCTAGAGGGTATCATTTTGAGGGTGTTTGAAAGGGACACAGTGACCTTTTGGACAAATAGATGGCCCTGGTTAAGGGAACAAACCCAATCTTAACCAGCGCCATCTGTGTCTAACCAAACTAACCGACCCCAGCGTCTCCAGGGGAGTTTGCATGTGCCAAGTTCCCTACAAAGGACACCTATCTCAGATGCCCAGTGGCCAATAGAAAACAAAAGGCACCTTTTTTTGGTGCTTGAGATTAAAGGGGAAGCCTTCCCCAACAAAAGGTTTGCAAAAAAGGGCACCGCTGGGCAACAGAGCTATGACCAAGGGACACCAAAAGCAACACGCCAAGCAGGCGGCGGATCGGCCTCCTCCAGCAGTTCCACGTACTGCTCCGGGGTGAGACACGGCCTGTCTGGCGAAGATCTGGGTGTCCTGTTTTAGACCCCACAAATGGTGGCAGTCCTTTCGGTTTCCGTTTTACACCCACAAAAAATATATCGTTGTTTCGCAGTTTCCCTTTCAAATCCACAAACAATCGGTGTTTTCTTTTTTTCAGCTTCCCGGCCTGTAAACCCACAAGAAAAAATGTGTAAACAAGACACAAACAACACATTTTCCCGGCCTGTAAACCCACTTTCATTTTTTGTTTTAAGCGAAACATGACCTCCAAGTCTTTTCCAGTCGCAACGGGAGCTCAGGGAGTGAGCCTATGAACCATGACACATGCACGGCGCAACATGGGGACGCTGGCTCGGGAAGCACGTGCGAGCGTCCAACACGCATTCATGTTATACCAACATAGGCATAAAAGCTTGTGCAGGTCCACTCAAAGGTGTTCCAGTTTTTCTTTTTTTCACCTGTGAGGCTTTGACATGCTCAAAAGGACATACCAGTCGTTTGGGGAATCACATGTCCCTGCCAAACCATTCAGGCCCGTGTCATAATCAAACCTGGTAGTACAGGGGCCTACGCGAACCATGTACACGATTGCAAGGCTTCTTGCCGCACCCGTTGTCGTTCCCAGGGTAACGACCGAAAGTGGTGTTTGTTTTGCCCTGAAATACCCACACAAATGGGCCGTTTTGAGACACACTCATTTGAAACCCAGACCCCCAGCCCGGGAATAAACACCACAAGAGATACCACCCCTGTTCGGCTCGTTTTTCCAACCGGTTCCCCTCCAAAAGGCTGAGAAACCCCAATGGAGGTCTGGAGCAAAACCCCAAAAACCCTGACAAAAGCTGAAGCTGGTGGTTTCATCAGCGTCTGTAGTAAAATTAACAAGCCCTGCGCGGTTGTTCTTCCTTCCTCCCGCGGGTTCTCCTCCCGACGGCGACGGCTTCGGCTCCCAGTCCCCCGAGCCCCGAGGTCGAATCGATTGCTCTGGGCTCCGCGACTTCGCGGCGCTCTTCAGCTCCGCGGGGGACATGTTCTCGAAGCGCACCAGGCGCAGCAGATCCTGGCTGGATCCTCGCCCCCCGAGGGTGGGTGCGTGCCCCCGAACCTCTTGAAGGCCTTGGTTTCAATAGGAAACCACCACTCGGTCCTCCAGATTTGAGAGGTTAGAATAAGGGGACCAACTTTTTTTCTGGTTGGTCTATTTTAGTAGGGGAACCCTCCCCCAAAAAAGGGGTAAAAGGGCACTACTGGGGGACCTAGCCACTCAAGTCACTCAAGCATGTTGGGGCTGAAGCATTTTGAGACATACCTTAGGGAATAAAAGGAAACCCATCAACCATGTTTGGGGAAATGCCCCATTTTGAGACACACAGTTGCTAGTTGCTGGCACGACCCCGCAAAAAGTGAATCACGTGTGGGTCCAAGTCGGGAAAGATCCAATCAATAGCCAGAACGATCTTTGGCGGAAAGCTACACAGAGCAAATGACCGTCATCAATTCCTACTGGACAAAACCCGTGCCGATCGCCACCAGCTGAAATAAATGAAGCCGTGTGAATGCTGCGGTAAAGCAAAGCACTTTTGTCCTCCACAGTATGGCACTCGTTTTGGTTGTCTGATCTAGCTCAGGCCGTTAGGCCCAAAATAAAAATAGACCAAGGGAAACTAAAAGGTCAAGTCAATTCGCTTTGGGCAGGACATTCGGGGACTTTTTATGGTGATGTTCCTGTTGGTTCCCTTGAAGCCAACCTGAACATGGCCCATTCCTACGTAAGGAGCCGAGTTCTGAGGGGAGCTCGGCTAAAAAAAAAGTCGACTCTCAGGCCCTCGAAGTCCGGGTCTAGCGCTTTTCAGCTCCTCAAAGAGCCAGGTACCCTGAGGGTCCAATTCAACTGCTTTCGGGGTTCTTAAAAAAAATGTCTTTGTTTGGGTGTTTTTGAGAACTTGGTCGTGGGGTCTCCAAAGAGCCCCGTATGGAGTCTGTGAGTCCATGACCCTTGCGTCGGAGTCAACCTAAGGCCTGCCCCTAAGCCTCCTGCGGACCTGTGACAGGCCTTTTCACCAATGGCAAAACCCCATCCAGCGGTCGGAAGTTGCAAAAGGGGGCGGACTCCATGTCCATTCTCTTCACACCTTTGTTGCGGGAACCATAATTCTATATGTATATATATATAAATATTCCCAGGTTGTGTTGCCATTCAATCTGGGCAAACTCCTGTAATTCAACACCGGAAAACCAAAAAAACATCATCTCTTAGTAAAACCACCTGGGTCATAGGGCCCAAGTTCGCTATATCTGCAACTAATCACCACGAACAAAATGCCAATCTAGGGGTGCTGTAAACAACGGGCTCCTCAAAGCAGGCGCTTCTTTGAGAACCCTATATGGAAAGAATAAAAACATATTTCCAGTAGTGCATGAACACGTTTCCTTAAAAACAGGGGTTCCTAAACCATATTCTTAGGAAGCACACGTAAGTCAGGGTGTAGTAATCCAAATCGCTAGCCCCTTTAGGGAAGGATCCCTTTTCGAGACACTCGCAGTGGCTCTTCGCTCTCGCCCTCTCCTCAGGCACTGCTACCCTGGCAAAAAACGGCTGTGCCGCACAAAGCATGCGGGTGGACTTCCCGAGTGGATTTGCCAAAAACGAACAAACTTGTTGTGTGCCATTACCTGAAATGATCCTCCAAGATACAAGTCTAGGAACGTGGGGAAGCACACAAGACAGTTGGAACAACTTGGGACTGTCAGAAGCAGTGGGTGCTGCTGGGACCTGTGGAAAGGGCGGAGAAAAACCGAAACCACCAAAACATGAAATCAGAGCATTTGGGATGTCGTCGATTTGGTCTTCCTTCCGTGCCTTGGGTCCTGCTTGTTGTTTTGTGCGTGTTGTGTTTTGAGGGGTCTGTTAAACTCAGCCTCATGCTTAGTTTAGAACAGCTGCGCGCACAGTTGTGAAGCAGCATAGCAGCAACCATCAAGTTTAAGGTGACGAGAACACAAGAGAAGCACACTGATGATCATGGCTCAAGCAAGGATCTTTGCCAGATCTAAGATGGGGCCCTTGATAAGAGTCATTGGTATTGGCATCGTCTCTCCGAACAAGTGCTGATAGGGCCTAACCGCGGCGATGGTCCAAACCGGGCTGTCGAATGGCCCTGAGCCCAAACCACCAAACCAAGAAAACAGCAACTCTGCTGCGGCTTTCAGCTTGCCAAGAATGACAGACCGATCAGTCGGTGGACCTCCATGCCGTTTGGCTGGAGAGAGTCGTGTCGCCGAATGTGCCACTTTGCGCGCTGCAGGCGATGTGGTCCGAGACTCATCCGCGTTCCACGAGCGTTAATCGATCGACCTATTGACCAACTGCAAGCGCTCAACCAAGTTTCCGCGTGCGATATCCGAGTAGTTGCTGAGCTCGTGATCAAGTTACCAATTCTGACCGGGGGCACTTCAACCGGCCATGTGCCCTCGGGTTGGGTGGCGCCTGCATCTTGCAAGTGAGCTCAGTCGGTGTTTCAGGTGCCGCACTTGGCGCGCTGACCAAACGAGGTCGCGTTGAGGCTTGCCGTTTTCGGAAAGCCGGATAACCCCATGGGCCGGGGTACATAATGCCTCACCAACCCACGAAAACGCTTCTTTATAAACGCAACCTTCACATCGGCAAGCCAAAGGCTTGGTGACGAGAAGGAACTTGCCCAAAGGCTTTTGATTGGAAAATAATGTCTGCGGGGGGGGGGGGGTCCTTTTGGCCTTCCTTGAAACCGACCACCCGAAAGGAACACCTAAACCACACAAGGCCACATGCCAACAGCCGTGGACTCGGCAGCATGGGGGAAAGGTCACGAAATCATATCCCGGCCTCCGGGGTGTTGTGCCTGGCGCATTGACATCACGCAACCCCCTTGTTGTAACAGCGGAAAAGGAGAACACGGGGAATCTCCGCGTCTCCGCGGCCGGCACTCCCCTGCAATTGAGCCACACTATATTGGGATTCCTCTTGCAACTGGCGCTTTTTGGAGACTACCCTTTCTTGAGGATGCTTTCCAGGGACACCGAGCAAGCAGCATCCCTTGGGCTCTCCCTCCATTTTCGCTCGCCTGCGCGATTTTTTTGCAGAAACCTCCGATGCTTGCCTAACACAAATTGCTTCCTGCACCTCGCACGGCCCGAGTGAAAACACGAAAGCCGTAAACGAAGCTAGACATGAGCTCGGGGTCCCAAGAAAAACTGCCATGAAGAATCTGCATGAAGGACAAACGCCTCGCCTTGTCAGGTTCCACGCAAGTGGGTGGCAATGCAACAAATGGGTTTGTGTAAAAATCGGGCAACCCCCAAAAAAGTGGCGGCCGTGTGGTTTCCCTTGACATCCAACCAAAAAGGGGCACGGAGAAAAAACATAAATCACACCCAAATCAAGAACAGCGAAGTGAAGGTTAACGGCAGGAACTCAAGAGTCTCCAGCCCGAAACGGAGTTTGCAAAGGTGTTGACTATTGGAGGCTATGTCTCTTGCACGGCAAAGAATGCGTTACACCAAAATGCAGGTCAAGCCAAACTTAGCCCTAGACCGATGAAGACCACAAACCAAAACACAAGCAATAACGACAAGCGCTTGGATAGGGAAGGCCGCACAGGAAAAATACAATAAGACACAAGAAAGCAAGCAAGCAAGCAAGCAAGCAAGCAAGCAAGCAAGCAAGCAAGCAAACAACAATCAGACAGGTGGCTAAACACTTACTAACTTGGCCTACCTCCCTCCCTTGCTTGGAATCCCAGACATAAACTAACATACCGAAATATAATATACCTAAGTGCCGAAACACCAAGTTGGAACCAACCATCCAAGTATTTACATACCCCTAAATGGGTTTGCTTCAAAATAAGGGCACACATACATTTGATGGCTTCTTGTTGGGTGTCCTTTAAGGCCAACCCAAAGGAGGTACCCTCAAACAAATACACGCCCAAACGGACATACCCAAACAAGAGTGGCAGTTTTCTTCTCGGGGAAACCCATCTCTCGCCTGTTAGCCTTGGACCGTCGTTGCATGCTGAGGGAAACCAAACCCAATGCAGTGAAAGGGGATGTCCCACCCGCTCAAAAGATATGTGGTGCTCCTGCGCCCTGCCCCCAAACCCTTGCACAAAACACCTAATTTGTGGGGGTCCTGGGCTTTTACGCCAATGGCGAAGCGACCGGTTTTCCTCGAGGGCCATCAAAACAAAGCGGTTTGGAGGACCCTGGGGCTTAGCTTTGAAACTAACGGTGCCAAAGGTCTTGCGATCCGCCTTTTGCAAGCCTCTTTCCGAGTTGCCCAGAGAACCTTCCTCAGCAGAATAGCAGAAGTCCCCATGACCTCAAAGAAGCTGCGCCTTTGGGGGGTCACTGGATTTCCCCTTCAAAGGTTGATCGATTTACCAGTACTGCCACTTGAGGTTGCCAAAAGGGAAGTGGGGGAACCCTGCAACTGGGAAGTCCTCAGATCTGCTACCAGTTTAACTCTTTGTGGGTTGAATTCGGAAACCCGACCACTAAAACAACAAAACAACCTAACCAACCAAACCACCCAAGGCTCACTTGCCCGAAGGACCTGGAAACAAAAGGTTCACCTTTTGAGACCCTTAAAATGGGTACCCACATGGGAAAATCAAAAAAATCGATTCCATTTTGGGAAGAATCGACCGCCGAAATGGGAGGACCAAAAAGTCGAACCTAACCTTTTGGGACCTTGGAAATGGGAAAACCAAATGTACCAAATGGGAAAAAACAAATAGGGAAAACCAAAGGTACCCAAAATGGGAAACAAAAAAAAAGGTCAGATCCGGTCGCTTCGCGTTGGTTCGAGCTGCCAGCATGCGCCTTCCTCCCGCGCCCGCGCCCAGCGCGCCAGCGCCCGCAGCAGCGCCGGCTCCCGACACAGCACCGCGTCGCGCCTGGCGACGGCCACTCAAAGCGATAAAACGAGCGGGGAACGTGGGGTCTTTTTTTTTGGGGGGGTTGGTACCAGTTGTTTTTCTTTTTAAGGGGTCATGAGAAAATGAACTTGAGAACGTGGGGTCGATTTGTTTTGTTGAGTCGGTACCTGGAGTCTCCTTCTGACCCTTTAAAAATTGTTTGTCATTACCAAAATGATGGGTTCTGACCCCCTTTTTCTACGGGTCATGGAGACTCTAGGTACCCCTTTTTTAAGGGGTACCTTCCATGTCCATTCTTTGTTTAGGGGAGCCTTCGGTCTAGAAAACCTGCAGAAACCCAGGGAACAAAGCCTTGTGACATGGGTGATTAGTCAGTTGCAGGGCCTCCGAGGAGGAGCCGGGGGTAGGAATGGGCAGGAATCCACCTGAGGCACAACAAAACCCCAGATAACTGGGTGTGTTTTTCAGGATGGCTTCGATTGTTCACTTGGCTTTCCCTTTAAAACTCACGCAAAAGGCTTCCGGGGGTGGTTGCAGCGATCCCGCAAACACAGGTAGCCAATCCAAACCATGAGGGGGTCCGTGATTTGACGTGCCTAGCGATTTGGGTATGGAACAAAGCAACAAGAGAATAAACACATACAGCCGTCCAGATAATAACATTTGGTTGTCCCCACTGAGTGAAACATGGGGCATATATCATCCACCTGAACACTATCCCCCGCAAAATCGTCCTCATTTTCTGTTTGGTGGGAAAGGCTTGCTGTTTGGACATCAACGCCACTTTTCGGACCTTAATCCGGGCTTGGATCCTATGATCCTGATAAGGAGGATTCAGAAAACAAAGAGTGAAAGGTGGCCGTTTGAAACGGCAACCTTCCCCTTGCTCTTGCGAGGAAACAGGACATCCCCAGAAATGAGCTTCAAGGGGAAAAAATGCGACCGTGCTTCGGCGAACCATTCTGTGTGGCCCTGATGTTTCTCTAAGAAAGCCCGTTCGTTCAATCCCGCGCCCTTCCCCCCCCCCAAACCAAAACCCAACAGGCACACGCCAGAAAAAGGTATTGAAACAGATGAGTAAGGCAATATTCACAGTTTGCCCTAACGGCCCGGAAACAAATGACAAATGTGGACATGTTGAAACCTGGACTCGGTCACATCAGCTCGGTTCGCTATGGGTCAGTGACCTACATGCATCTCAGCCGGAGTGCCTATTCGTAGCCCTGCCTCACAAGTTCCACAAAGCAGAGCAATGCGAACCCGGGATGAACAGGATTTCTTGCATCTCCTGTGGAAATCCAAAAATACAAGCAGCCAAAACAAAAGGACGTGGCATAACCCCTAATTCATAGGGTGCCCCATTTGGAAAAGGATCCGGATCACTTGTTTGGGAACCATCTGGGGGATGGTTCCACTGAGGAGTCAGCAATGATTGTTTCCATGAAGGCTCCTTGAAGCCCGGTGATGCAGAGGAAGAGCCGCTCAAATAAGCATCCCTGATCTGATGACAAACGTCGGTGCAAGGACCTGTCCATCGAACATCCGCGCCTTAAGAAGTCAGCGACCGTCGTGGCTGAGAGCCTCCGCGTGTGAGGCAAGTTTTGGGGAATGGCAAATGCTTGGGTCGGCAACAAACCTACCCGAGAAAGCCGACCCTAAGGGCTTGGACCGCTAATAACAGCGTGAGAAGTAAAATGGTGGGGGGGGGGGGGTAAAACCACATTTAGCCATGAGTAGAATAATAAAGTATGAGTTGTTTGTTTAGCCCGTTGTAGTAGCGAGGAACAGCAACAAGTGGCTAAAAAAGAAGCAACAAACGACAACGACGACGACGACGACGACCACCACCAACAACAACAACAACAACAGCCAGAAACAGCCAGAAACAGCCACAAACAGCCACAAGCAACCACAAACAACAACAAACAACCACAAACAACCACAACAAACAGCCACGAACAGCCACAAACAACCACAAACAACCAAACTACAACAAACAACCAAACTACCACAAACAACCACCAAAAAGAAACCACAAACAACCACAAACAACCACCAAAAAAAACACACACACAACCACAAACAACCACAAACAACCACAAACAACCACCCAGAAAACACAAACAGCCACAATCAACCACAAACAACCACCAAAAAAATCACAAACAACCACAAACAACCACAAACAACCACCAACAAAAAAAACACAAACAACCACAAACAACCACAAACAACCACCAAAAAAAAACAAACAACCACAAACAACCACAAACAACCACCAAAAAAACCACAAACAACCACAAACAACCACAAACAACCACCAAAAAAACACAAACAACCACAAACAACCACAAACAACCACAAACCGCATGTGGGGCGCGGGCATCCTGAAAACACAGACCATCCCTTTTGGCTTTCTTGGGGGCAAAGCACAAATTGTGGGTTGCTTGGTACCCAGCACTAAATGGGGAAGGAGGGAAGGGCTCTTTTGCACAAAGCTCAAGTAAGCTTTGGAGCTTTCTATGAGTGTACGCGGTACCCTAATGTACCCTATTAACAAATAGGTTTCTGGGGAGCCCCAAAATGACTTCGGTTTTCCTTTTGGCATCCCAAGAAGGGTGCCGAGCTTGCAAAAGCACACACCCCTTTATGTAGCCCTCCCGGGCGAAGACAAATGTATATTTGGGGGATGAAGGACAAAACCCTGAGATCATTCCCTGAGAACCAGCAAGGTTCAAGGAAGTTCAGGTCCACAGGCAGAGAAAAAGATTTGGCAACCTTCATGCAACCGAACCAATGGCGACACCTTGTTGATCTGCCCCGATCTGGTCGAATGGGATCTGCATGGCAGTGCTGCCGTCCGAGCAGCAGAAGGTGTTGTCAATGAGAGACAGTACCGTCGGGTCCAGCTGGATCGGGTTGGAGAGGTGCTGAGGCTTGCCTTTAGCTCGTTTCTTGTTGGAAGCTTGGATGCCGAAGGAGTTGGTGGCGGTGTCCCGGATCTTTTTGGCGAGCTCATCATGGCGGAGCCACATCAAACCAACATTGGGCTGGGAGGCCAAAGCCTTCAGCGCCGGCCAGCGGATCCTGGAAGCAAGCGCCTGAGAGAGGTCAGCAGCTGATAGCGTAAGATCACCTGCTAAATCAATTGAACCTTTTCCTTCAAAATCACCAAGTTCAACTTGTCTTAAACCCTCTTGAAGAGAGCCCAAACCTTCGAGGTTCTTGGGAGTGGGTCAAGCGGCCATATATGGGTGTGTTTTTTTCCCCGGGGACCCCTTTTTGATTGGTAAAATCAAATGGAAAACCAATGCGCCATTTTGGGGGTACCCCATTTTGAGACACACCCATTTGAGGTCTTTTGGGGTCAAAGTTAAGCCCTTGTATTTAGGTTTGATTCCCCATTCCGACTCTTTAGAAACCACCGATTTTCAAGGGCTTTGGCCCATTTCTAGAAGGGTGTTTGAAGAGAATGGACCAGGAGGGTACAGCTAGAAGGGTCCATGTGGTCTCTATTCAGGGTGCTTCAATCTACCAGAAACCCACTTCCGCGCCTCAACCAGGCCGAAGAGGCAAAGAGCTCCCGAGGATGCGCCTAGAAAGGGAAATGATGCCTTGGATCCGTTTTTGGCCCCGAAGCATAGGTGGCCTGTTGGAAAAATCGATGGGTTTCCCTGGTAAACGGGTAATAAAACCCAAAACCAGTGCCATCTATTATTTACTAGGCTCACCTAAAACGGACATCTATGCCCCGAAGTCTCAAACCAACTGGGGGTGTTGCTTTTTGGGTTGGTACCCCCCCGATTTGGTGGTTTAAAAGGGGAAGCAAAAAGAAAACCGATGCCATTCTTTTTTTGTTGGGGGGGGGACCCTAAAAAGACACACACACAACTCGAGAACCTGTGGTCCAACAGCCCGTTGGTGAAGATGGGTTCAAAACCCCGCGGCTCGGGGCCCATGCACCTGCAACCTGACGGCTTTGCGGAAGTTCCAGTGCGCTCCGCGCTCGTTGAGTAAACCAACCAAGCAAACAAGCCAAGCCCATGCATGTTTGAGCTAGTTAAACCATTCTCAAAATCAATGATTAAATAGTAGAAGATAATTACCAAGGCACACCTCCTTGTTCTCTAGTTGCCTACCTGAACAGTCCCAAAGCAAAGCCCCCCTCTTTTTTCGGATATGAAGCTCCTTGTCCCTGGCAAACAGAACCGGTGGCAAAGGCAAAACACACATGAACGCAAATCGACGTATACGCACAGACATGTTGCTCCCAGGGCCAGCTTTGGCCTTTCAAGGTACCCCACTCGGACTATGGTTCTTGTGGCTTGGCCAGACCTAGACGGCCCCGGCAACAAATGGGTGTCTTTTTTCAGGCTGGACCCCCGCAAAATGGTTGTGCGTCCTGTTGGTGTTCCTTTAAAACGACAAACGTCTTGGTACCTCCCACAAAATGTTTTTGCCGAAGGGGAACATGAAGGAAACCAAAAGGCCGACAAAAACCAAAGGTCGAGCGGCAAGCAAAGTCTGGCAACCTTTATTGCCGTACCCCCACTCAGCACAAAACCCAAGGAGAAAGACCCCGATTGGGCGTTTGATCCTGGAAACATTCTCAAACAACTTCAGGTTTGGGTCAGGGATGGCACATTGGCCAACACTGGGGTCCAAACAATCGTGTCCATATTACCCTCCAACCAATTAACATGGAACCTGAGTGACGGACAGGACCACTTGGATGTTCGGCCAGGTTACTATGTGGAAACTAACAGGGGTAACCACACTTAGTGGGACTTACAAGTAGGTCCTAGCCTAGGTTACCAACAACTTACTACTTGGCCGAAGGCCCATTCATTGCATAGAGACCAATAATCTACAAATGTTAAATACAATTCCAAGAGGTGAAGTACGGGATTCCCAAGTAAAGGACCTTCGCGCTGAGCTCGCTATACCCCAGGTGAGCTCAGAATAACATCGGCCACATCGATCGGCCTCCAGATAGGCCCAGGCCCTGCCGGTGAGATGCTCCTCGAAGCCTGGGACTTTCGACGTTCGACGGGATGGATCTTCAAGAAATGGGTGCCTCGGCTTTTTGAATGTACTCGGGTGCCCTTTTTGGGCTGGCTTTTTACAGGGAAACCAAAGGAAAAACCACCACTCCACTTTGGGGGGGGGTCCCTAAACACACACACACACACACACACACACACACACACACACACACACACACACACACACACACACACACACACACACACACACACACACACACACAATTTATTGTCCTTTTTTTGGGGTACCCTTTTTAGGGTGGGCTTAAAGGGAAACCAAGGAAAACCATCCCCTAACAAAAACACGTGCCCAAATTTGCAAGTGGGATTTAAGTTGGTCACCAACAACTTACGGGCTTGGCCAAACAAAAACAAGTATAAGCTACTAGTAGGTGTTTTCGACCATGGCACATCTGGCACATGCGAGAGCCGGGATCCAGACGTGACATGAAAGTGGTTCACACAACAACCAGCAACGAATCAAAAGGGCGCCCGCGCCAATTCTAAGGGTTTTTGGCCGACCCCAGGGGACCTTTGAGAAAAGCGTTGGGTCCGTACAGGGCATGAACCTCGCAGATTCGACCTGAGCTCCTGGCTGAGACTCTCAAGCACCAAAGCCATGCGAGACGCCGACGGCCTTGCCGTGGCCGTCTGGGGGCTGGGGGAGGGGGAAGAACTGCTACCACCGTGCACCCTTTGGCAAAGCTTCCAAAATGAGGCTCACTCTTTTCGGCCCAGAATTTCTGGGGCGTTTTGGTTTGGGTACCACCTGCGGTTTCCGAACTGGGCCGTTTCCTCGACCCACGACCCGCTGCACGTTTGACCCACGAAGCGGAGGGGAGGCCCGTGGCAGGGGATCGCCTGGGTCGGACCCGTTCCCATGCCTTCGGGCCCGTGCCAATTTGGTAAAGTCAAGGCGTTTTTTTTTGTTGTTTTGTTTTTTTTTGGCTCTCCTTTTTTTTGGGGTTCTCCCTTTCTTTTTCGTTTTTGTTTTTTTTCGGGGGGGGGGGGGCGAGCTTCTCGTTTTAAAAAGGAACACTCTCCTGTCCGCGCTGCCATGGAACTTGACGTTTCGGGGTCCTGGATTGGACCATTTTCCTTTAAAGCAGGAGGCTATGTGTTTTGTCTGAAGAAAAAACAAAAAACAATGCTTACTGTTCCATCAGACGCCTCGACGAACGCCCCGCCCACCTATTGATTCACGCTCTCCTGAAACCACTTCTCGAACACTTTTTCGAGTGGAGTCCAAAGGAGACTTCTCCAAAGTGCGGCTTTGGGCTTCCATGCTAAGATCAACTTCAGATTCATCCTGAGGTAAATCCTCAAATCGGTATGATCCTGCGCGATAAGTTCCAAAGTTACTCAGTATGAGGCGAGCCCTGAATTGGCTGGGTTTCGAATTTCATGTTTTTCCCTTTTATTCAATCATTGGAAACCAAGAGGGCCTTCAAGAGGATATTTGTCTGTGTGCAGTCTTAGGAGGCCCATGTTGAGTTGCAAGATTTAAGGATCACCTCACATAACCAAAATGAGCGTTCCCACCTACAAACCATGTTTAAGGATGTTTATTTTTTGCCTAGCCAGCATGGACCTCTATAACCCGTGCGTAGCCACCGATTGTTGGGTATCCAATTGGCGTGTACCTAAATTGTCAGAGTTGGAAAGTACTTGGTCACCTCGCTTATAACCCTTTGGGGGTTATAAGCTCGGTCATGTTCAACTAGCTTGGTCGAACAGGCAAGTATGTATGGCCTGGTTGCAAGTGGAGTTAACTCTGCTGTGAGTGGGGCTATAACCAGGGATAACAACTAACTTGGCAAAGGGTTCTGGCCCCACCAACTTGGCAGAGAAACACCCCAATTACACTATCAACCCTGCACTAACTCTGCCAAAGAGCTAGTTGGGGCTAACTTGGCAAAGAAACACTCCCACTTAGTTCGAGGTTCGGAGTGCCTGTGGTTGGCTGGCCCCAGCTGCCCTCAAATCGGTCCATTGGATGCTTGGAGGTTGGAGGGCACCCCGTTTAGTCCACGGGTTTGGGGGATAAATCCCCCAACCCCATCCAAACCACCAATTGAGGGTCACCAAAAGTGAATGAGGCGCTTGCGATGCTGAACGTACCCCCGCCAATTCCCAAACACCACCAATTGACGACCTGACAGAACAAACACCCCGAAGAACGCCTGGCGTTCAGCAGCAGCTCAATGGTTAGGGACTTGAGCTGCTCAGTGTCCTTGGTGGAGAAACACAACTGCCCCAAAGGGTCCCGTCCCGAGTGTGCTTGGCTCAAAACTGGCTGTTTTCAAGGGCTGAGGGGTCAGGACTGGCTCGGGGGTGTGCATTGAAAGAGTGGAGCTAACCCCAAGTGGAGCTCACCCCGTATAAACCAGGTGGCTAACCACCTAACTTGGACCAACATCCAACCAAACCGCTCCCTGTATTTCCACAGAAGACCATCACCCCGAAGAAAAATACCTTATCTAAACTTAGCCCAGTTTTGTTTTGCGCCAGCAACAAGTTTTCATATGGCTACCCATAAAAAAAAAGCACCCATGGTTGGAGGTTGGGGGGTGGCCGATCGAGCCACAGCCAGCTGTCTCGAAAAATATTGGTTCTCAGCTGAGAAAGCTCGGCTGGAATGAAACTATTTGGGGACTCCCAAACGAAAGGTTGCGAAACAAACGGGCTGGTGCACACACGAGGCAAAGCCAAGACCCGTTTTTGATCAACAAGGGCCTGGCCGAAGTAAGGGCTTTGTAAATCCAGCCACTTGTGACTCGCTTGATTGATAATGATTCCTAACAGGGCAGTCATCCACGCAAGGGCTTGGCCTTGCAATCTCCATGAATTGGAACACTTGGGTTGGGCCAATTCCAAATCAACTCCTACTGGAACCCACTTTTCCCTTGGATTGCTCGAACATCACCTTTTGAGGCCATGTAACCTTAGTTGGTCTAAGCCCTTTCCGGGGTAGCAACCAAACTCCCCAAACAAACCAACAGCCCACTTGGATGCTCGCCAAGTTAGTGTCTGTGATTAGCCTGGGTTCCAACCCTTTGGCAGCTCCGCCTCCTTGTAGCCCAGGTTACTGACAGCTTGCTAACTTGGCCGAACACCCAAGCAAATAAACCTCCAAACAACCACACAAGGCCAAAGTGTTGCACCCATGCATATGAGCCATAATCAAAATTAACCAAAAGGAAACGGAAACGAGCAAGTCCGCTTTTCATGGGACATTTAGTGAACTCCCCCATGTCCCTCCCAAATGGACCACAGACTACTGACCATTTTGCCCAAACCTCATATAGATCAGCCCCTTGCTGATGGAGCTCCATGACTCCAATTCTAAATCCTCTTGGTGGCACCGGTAGCTCAACCAACGAGTTTTTGCTTGGAATTTCTTCTGGCCCTGCTTTGGCTCCCCAAAATTTATAACCACTTACCTCGAACAAGGGCAGGACCCCCAACAAAAGCGCCAGTCCGCGCCAGGCGTGCCAACATGTGCCCTCAAGTCGGGATCTGCGCAAAAATCCGTAAGAATATTCCACCCCTTTTGGCGTTCTGCGAACATTTACAAGCAAGAGCCAACCAGCCCCCAACCATTCAACAAGTGGCGGACAAAAAGAAGCGGTGCGGGCACCGGGTTTCTCTGACGTTTGCGGCCCCAAAGGATCTAACCCCAGCCCCAAGCCGTGATTCGCCCAGCGCCTTTTCTTCAGCCTTCCGCCCACCCGCAGCTTTGGCAGGTGACGGTCTGTGCCTTCAGCGCATCCGCGAGTGCTTGATTCGGGCCAAAGATGGAAAGGTGACTGTGCAAGCGTTGTCCTTTTTTTTTCCCTGACATCTGAGTAAACTATAATGCTCTCTCCTTTTCACTGACATCTGATCACTGACATCTGGGTGTCCTTTTAACAGCTCAACCCAAAGAGATCCAGAAACCCTTTGAGCTGTTGAAAGGGATCTTCTGGGACTCTCAGGCATGCAGCTCGCGCCGTCTCAGGCAAAATACTTCTCCAGAAAAGCGTGTTGCCTTAGAGGCGCGAGGAACAGCCGTGGCGTTGCTTGAAACATCTCCTTTCCGTGCAACCTCGATGCAGCAATACCCATCTCTTTGACTACTTTGTCATTTTAGAGCAGAATTATCCAAGAAAAAATACGCACATTGCGCCTACAACCCCATGTTTCCCACAAGCATGCATCTGATGGGTTTTTTCAACTTTCAAAAAAAAATGCCAGCTTCTGGGAATACTGGGTGTTACCTTGGGTGTGTGTATGTGTCCTTTTCGAGAGTACCATGTTTGCCTTGCTTGAAAGGGACACCAACAGGAACCACCACTATTTTGGGGTGGGGGGGGCAACCCAATTTTGCTAAACAACTTTGAACACCAACACAAAAACGCAACCCAATTTTGCCGAAAAGACTTCAAACACAAACAACACGTCTGAATCTCTTTCCAAAAGGTCCCCGTTTGTCATGAGGCGCGATTTCGCAAAGAGCCCGACCACTGAGAAAACGCCAACGCCCACAACGAGGCGCTCCGGCGTCTCGGGCCCGCTGCCCGCATCGCGCACGTGCTTCTTGGCCTCCTCAAGGCCTCCAGTCGGCTCGATCCCAAGCGCTCGGCTTGGCTTCGGCACCAAGGGGAGCGTGGCTTGGGCCATGGGATGGTGGGGACCCGGGTGGGATGACTGGTTTCATTCTAGGGGTTCATTCCTTTGCCATTTTTGTCTGAGTTTGTTGGTGCCGCGTGGCCGCGTGGCCGCGTGGCCGCGTGGGTCTAGCAGGGTTGACTCGGGAGGACTGATGAATGTAACCTAGCTTAGCAACAGCATAGGGGAATTCCATTTCCATTCCATTCAACTATCGTTCTTTTCAACCAGCCATTTTCCCTGGGTTTACGGAGCTTGTCTAGAAAGGATGCCTGGAAAGAATGGAAATACCCCTAGATTCATGGGCCATGGGATTCTTGGGACCCGGGCGGGATGGTTACACTGGCGCTGCACAGTAAGTTGCACTTTGGCGGATTGCACCAAGGCTTCGCCTTCTGCATTCTGCAGCTGAGAATTCAAGGGCTGCCTCGATCCTATTTGGAGCACTTGAGTCTATGCAATGCCGAGGGGCTGTTGGGCTTTGGGGCTGCTCACATGGGTTGGCCGGGTGAAACTGGTAGCCCAAGGGACTGAAGCAACCAACTCTCACTTCACAACCCTTGGTATGGGCTTGCAAAAGGCTGTGTTTGTCTGCAGCGCCCTTCCAAAACTGAGCAGAACCAACAAAAACAAGAACAACACACCTCCAAACTTGCCAAGAACAGTATAACAGTGAAGCTGAGGCCTGAGGCGACACCTTGACCGCCTCCGTTTCCGCCAAGCGGCCTAGGCCCATAGACCGCAACACCGCGCAGGCCGTGAGCCCCGTGCGCCCAATGCCTGCGGCGCAATGCACCAGCACCTCGAGACACGTGCTGCCAAAGCGCTCCCAGCTGTCCGAGTCAAAACCTGGGAACCAAAGTCTTTGCCTTGCTGGACGCTGCTCTGCGCGGGTGAAACTTCCGCCAAGGGCGATCTTCCAAAACTTGTTTGTCGAAGTGAGTCAAAATCCAAGCCCGGCATGAAACTTACTGAGGGAATGGGACATGGAACAACCCTTATAACCATCCAACTGGTGGTCTCCTTCAAAGGGGGTTTTGTGGGTTCATTCCCACATTCCCTACTGAGCACCAGCAAGTAAAATGGTGTGCCCGGATCCATGTAAAGAATAAGGCGGATATCCGCAGCCTATTTTCGGGTTTTGATTGCGGCGCGGTTGACCCTGGGATTCCTACCACCATTGAAACGAAAAGGGTTAGTATTTATTAGCCATCATGTTTACCTAACAATTGTCATCTAATGAATTGGGTCAACCAATTCACCAGTATCTCACTGGCTGTATGCTGCCCCTGCTGTTTTTGGAGTTCCTTTGTGGGGTGACTCCGTACTTACCGTCTGCAATGCTTTGTTTCTGTTATCTCTACTTTGCGCCTCGAAATCGCAACCTTTTAGCACAAGTGCAGACGAAGCGCGCGTGTCTCGAAAATCACAACTTTCAGTGCAAATCTGGTACACACAGTACGCCGTGGCAGCTGCAGCTCGAAAATCAAACTTTTAAGCACCACAAGTGTATGGTACACAAGGTACACTTTGGCAGCTCTAGCTCGAAAATCAGAACTTTCCAGTACACGTGTGGCACACGAAGCACACTTTGGAAGCAACTCGACAGTCGCAAGCTTGCAGGACACGTGTAGTCGTGCACGATGTATTTTTCAACAGCTCCAGCTCGAAAATCGCAACTGTTCAGCTGATGCGCTCAGAAAACGTGTGGATGTGAGGAAAAGCGCACAAAAGGCAATATCTGATCAAAACGTTATGGTGGTTTTCTCCGTTTTGCTATTGATTTTGTTCAGCTACCAAGTCTGGCCTGCTTGCTACTCAACAATCTGTGCTTTTCTCGTCGCCAAGGCTGCTCCTTCTTTTCTAACTCCTTCTCGTTTTGCAGTAAAACGAACTGTTTTGAACTCAAGGGACTTTCAAAGACTAAATGTAAATCAACGCTTGTTTTGTCAAACAACCGCTCTTGCCCAGGACCTGGAAACAAAGGGAACCAGCTGTTGGAATCTTTGACTAGCCCAATTGGGGAAACCAAAGGGTCTCTATTTCAGGTCGATTCGCCTTGAAAAGAGTTGGGGTTGAAGCGCACAACTTAGGCACCCAAGGTAAAAGTCGGCTTCCCGCCTAGGCTGTCCTCAGATCCAATGCTAAAAGTTGAACTTTCGCTCAAATGGAACCCCCACTAAACCAACCAAGTTTCTAAAAAGCTAATGGCTGGAAGCCGCCAAGCCACTTGGTTTGGAAGTCTGGGCTGGTTTCCCATCTACAAAAAGCAGGCCCTTCAAGTCCCCAAATCCAAATGAAACCCAACCACTCCAAACCCCAACAACCCAAAAAAAAGCTCAGGAACCGGATGGCTGGTGTTTGCCACCCAGCAAAACGCTGGAAAGCCCCTTCAAATCCACGCGCCGCCACGGCGCAGCCCCGTTCTCCGCGTGCAAGGCGGAGGCGATGTGGAGCACCAAAGTTCGGTAGGCCTCACGGAGGGACACAGGTGACCTTTCTGGGGCAAATCGATGGATTTCTCTGGCAGATGATGAAAACCACCAGCTAAACCAGGAGTCGCCATCTATGATTTCTACCAAA